CAGGGGTCAGGCTCACCTTTGGATAATCCAGTGTGAAGAATGTCTCCAGGTTGGAGATGAGGTTGGGGTCGATGCCCTTCAGTGGCTTCAGCAGAGAAACTCCAGCCATCTGTGAAAACGGCTGCTTGACCTCTGACCTCTTCCTGTGCATGTGAAGACGCCTGGACAGACAGAGGTTAAAGGTCAGGCTCAATTCAACCCGACAGATTTGAGATCGACTCCAAACAATCGGTTCCGTTGTTTTTCTGTGAGGTGTGTTGGTCTGAGGAAGTGTTGCGCAATCAAAACTGAAGTCAGTTCTTCCACTGGTGTCACTGGTATCACTGACAATGAACAGACACACACACACCCACACACACACACACACACACACTCCTCGTCATTTCTGCTTCAACCAGACGCTCTAATCTTTCCAGGAAATCGTGATCTCACCGAAACCTGATCGTCCGCGTCGAGAACCAGGTGTAAAGAACTGGTCTGACTGATGGTGTCAGAGACGGAGGGACGGGGGACACACAGGGACGGGGGACACACAGGGACGGGGGACACACAGGGACACATCGGATGTGAAGATCTCAGAAGAATATGGAAGTCGACCAAAAAAAAAAAACCACAAGAAGAAGAAGAGGAGGAGGAGGAAGAGAGAAGTCATGTGATCAGATCAGATCAACTGTAACTTCCTCTGCTGTATTCAGTTACACACACACACACACACACACACCTCAGTTCTGTTCAGGGAATCGTTGACTGGGTTCGTGTGTGTGTGTGTGTGTGTGTGTCTCGCTCCAGTCACATGAAATGAGATTTTACTGGGAAAAAAGATAAACCCCTCAGTGAAACCTCACGTCCCACCAGCAGGGGTCCTTTAACCCCCTCGACCCTCCTGATTGGTCCAGGACGTTAACGTCCTCGCCCCTCCTGATTGGTCCAGGACGTTAACGTCCTCGCCCCTCCTGATTGGTCCAGGACGTTAACGTCCTCTCCTCTCTCAGCCTCGCTCCGTCACCAAACCCTGAACTTGAATCTCCTCTGTTCCTCTGATTCTCCTCACTTCTGATCACGGCTCCTTCGGGGTCATGACCCTGAGCCGCCTGGGACGTGAACGCGTTCCTCGACCGTGAGAACGGCCGTCGGTGAAGCTCCAGGAACAGACGAGGGATTTGACAAGTAGCTACGTGTCAAAGATGACGTTTTTATTTACTTTACACACGAGTTTGATGACATCATGTGTCACCGACACCTGGTCCGACCAGCGCTGGTCCAAAGTCCATCAATGTTTCATGTTGTCGTATTGTGCTTTAGCGCCCGTGTTTCTCTAAAGAGGATCAATGAACAAAAAGGCCGTAGAGCAGTGATGGAGTTAGAAACTCTGTTCCTCAACCCACACCTCCAGATCAAACTCTCTCTCTTTTTTTTTTGAGTTAAACAATTTCCCAAATTATGACCAACCTGTGAAAACAACCTGTTCTCCTCCACCCTGTTCTCCTCCACCCTGTAACTGCCGTTAAAACTTTCCAGGACAAAACTGGACACACCTGGAAACTGGGATGTGCTAATACCAGATTCCACCTCTGTTTCATCATGGAGTCACCAGTTTCACTGAGACACGTGTGGACATCGGACCACAGTGTCTCATATCGTTACAAACCTGTCTGCCAACCTGTGACCGTGACAGAGATCATCAGAAAGATCCATCTTTGAGAACTCTGAAAAACTCCCGGTCCTGTTTCAGCGGCGAACGTTGCCTCAGGACAAACCGCAGTTGCACCACCGACTTGACCATCATCTGTTTTGAAATCAGAGGTTTTTGTAACGTCGGGTTGTGGCGTAAGAACCCCCCCCCCCCCCCCCCCCACCATCTGTGAAGCACTGATTCAAACATCTGTGTCCGTAACTGCAGTAAAATAAGGAGCTGCGAAAATAACTATTTTAGTTCAAATTGATGAGATTCTAATTGACCAGTGAGACAACTGGTAAACAATGCTTTTTACCACCAAAACAAATCCCCATTGAAGTTATGTCGGTGTTAGAAATATCAAATAGAGATTAATTCACTAATTAGGTAATTGTTAATGATATTCGTTGTGTAATTTTCGGTCGATTACTCACCGGGAACTTAACGAATCATGTAATTTACCGGAATACAGCGATTACCATCGGAGGGACCTGAACCCAGTGAAACTGTTACATTTGAGGGTCTGTGTTTACGTTTACACTGCTGTTTGTCCCCTTTTTTACAATTAAATGGTTATATTTACATTCTCTACGACGTTTATTTCATAGAGGTGGACGATATTGTGTTAAAATCGTCGCATTTTCAGACGGAAATAGACGTCAACAAAGGTAACAGGAACTCTGACCAACTGAAAACTACGGCACGAGGAGGAATATGAGAGAAAACGGTTGAAAAGGGAACTGTCGTGCGTAAAACACTGTTGTGAAACGGTACAGGTGACCGGGATTTTGTTTTTGTTTGTTCGGTTTCCAGGACTTACACCGACCCCAGCTTTGCGAAATTTACAGCCCTGTTAGAGCTAAGTGGCTAACGGTTAACCAGGAAAACGCCCAGCAGCTGGTACAGTGGCTTCACCTTCTGCCACGGAGCCTAAACACAGCCGAGTGGGTCGAGGTGAGGCTTAAAGTTCCGTAATAAGTGTGCCCAAGTTCTTATGTAAAAGAAAAAAAAAGATACATACATATGTACATACATACATATGAATAAGACAAGAATAAAACGGTGCCCCTTTACCTTCTATAAACAATTAGCCTAGCTATTAGCAGTGCTGAACGTTCACTTACACGTAAATGATGGACATGAAGTGCATGAGCCACAGCACTAAGAAGTTGATGAAGCCGTACACGGCGAATCCCTGCATGACGAGGTCCAGCAGGGCCATGGTGACGGCCACGCACGCTCGCCGACCTCCGAGCACAAACGACTGTCTCCCACTCGCGATGAGATCTGTTCAATTCAGCCAACGATCCTGCCTCCAGCTGGTAGTGGGTCACGAAAGGAGGAGATCCAGGTCGAAGGTTTCAGGTGAGCGGAGACACAGAAGCCGCTGTTACCGATGTCCGGGTCACAGCTCGAGCTTCTAGGGGGTTTGACAGTCAGCAGACCGGCTAACGGTCAGCTGACCAACCGGTGGGGCTGCTGCGGCAAGCGCGGAAGAGTGGCATATAGCGATGTGTCGTTCGCGACTGATTGGTTAAAAAATGAACGAATCATGAACTTTCATATGATTCGTGATTCGAGTCATATGAAAGATTTGTTCAAAATGAACTCACGAATCACTCTATTCGAACTAATCTTTCGCTTCGTTCTCGCAGATTCGTTTTATTTGTCACGTGACAGAGAGCTCGGCTCTCATTTATCTTCACATTGTGGTGTGTTTTTCTTTATGTTTACACATGGTTTTAATTGCTTATGGTATTTCGTGTACTTTTTAGACTTTGTCAACTGAAGTAAACCATGTTGCCTTCAGTATTTAGTGTCGGAAAACCGCAGCCTTCTTTACAACGCCCACAGTAGGGCTAAAACGCCACCTGCGAATGAAAAAAACCCCGACTCGTTCAGTTTACTGTTCGAGAGTCAAAGATCCGAATCAGTAAAAAGAGTCGGTCTTCCCATCACTAGTGGCATATGGTGTGAGGGTTTCGGTTCACTTCAAGATAAAAGCTTGTCGTTCGCCAAGAACCAAGGGCACCGGAAACTGCTCCCACCAGGAAAATTCTCTACACTAAAAACATGTTACTTTATATTGTTTTTATTATATTTTGACATATAATTATAATTAGATGAGGCAGATGATCATGAACAGTCATGAACGGGGAGATCATTTAATATGTGTGAAATAAAAAGTGAAAATTCTGAGATTAATTATTTCAATTATAAAATCGTTATTATTATTATTATCACAGAGTGGAAAATTACAATCAGGTTTTGTATAAAGACTGAAGAAAACACCAAAAGAGAAAAGATCCAGCAATAATTTATTTTCCTGTTAAAACGCGTCCCATAAAACTCTATTACAACAAATTCACAGTCATAATAACATTATATTTCACTCTAGATAGAAAATATAGACTTTGAATTAAAAAAACAACCTGCATGTTTAACAGTGTGAACCTTTGTCAATCTCACAAATATAAATTTTTTTCTTTACATTTCTGAACACATAAATATATGTGCATTTGACCAACATTTTTTTAAATTAGAAAAATTACAAAATAAGAAAAGTTTTATCTCCAGTGTCAAAAATAGAAAATGAAAGCAACAATCGTTAAAATGACAATGGATCACACTTTTAGCATTTACCCATAATCCCTTATTAAACATTCACGTGTAGAGAAAATCACAGCAGCAAAAACAAACAAACAAACAAATAATTTGGTCCCTTTGACAAAACATTTCTTTCTAAACTTTAACTTGAAACTTGTCACAAAGTCTAAGCCTGAGCTGTGAGGAATCATTGATGATCAATCAGTGGTTATTCGTTCATTGGATGAACTGGATTTGGGAAAAAAAAAAAAAAATTCAAACACTGATACATTTAAAAACAGTAACATGACATAAATGTAACTTCTAACACGTCGCAGGGATGGGTGAGTTCAAAGGTGATAAAACCTTGTCTATACGGACTTTATAGTGTACGTGTTTTTTGAGAGTTGTCCAAAATCTGGTGCAGGATCCTGTCAAGAAGCAGAGGGTGAGTTTAGACGTACGACAGCGCCACCTTTGGTTCCTTGGCCTAATTAGTATTTCCGTCTGACAAAGTAACAGAGTAGGACGTAGGCTTGTTTGGAATCGGGCAAATACCGTTTTCCCACGGAGGCAGGCGACGCCTAAATAACGAGGTGACACTGGACTTCCTCTGAATACTGCAGATTTCAACATATACCACGATGTTAGCATCATTACGTAATATCTGTAAGAATCACTTTTTCCTTTAGCTGCGACGACAGAGAGGAGCGCTCCAGAACAGATGGACGATAATTCAAAAATAAAACACAGATTTTGTTGATAAAACGATCACGAATCCTCAAAGAAAGATAAAAAAACAAACTTTCTGTCCTTCTGGTATTGGAACACATAGAATAGAAATTAGCGTCAGAATTTCACACTGGCCCATTTTTTTTAAACGACAAACTATGAAGTAATCGTCGTCGTGTCCAGGTTCAGTCCAGCTCCACTCGATAGGCGGCGATTTCCATTGGCCGCAGCTGAGTCTTGTGTTGCTGGGCGAACTCCGCCTCCTCCTCGTCTTCTTGGAGAAGAGTGAGAGCTGAGCGGCGAATGGAACCAAACTGGAGAGGAGAGAAGAGGTCGTCCAGCTCCACCTGAAGAAAAAGAAATCATCAGGAGTCAGGGATGAGACAAGGCCAGGGTGGGGACCAGCGCCACCTCCTGGACTAGTTTGGCTTTTTCTGAAACTTTAACCTGCAGATGACAGAGCAGCAGACAAGAACGGAGTAACTGGAACCGATGCTGGTGGTGAGTTTGAAGAGGAGCTGGAACTTTAGCTCGGTTCTGGGGACCCATATTTTAAAAGTCACAAACCTTCACGACCCGAGTCAAAAGACATTATTCGTAAACTCCTGGGAAACATGATGCGAGACGACCCAAAAAAAAAACAAATCTCTTGCGACCCCCCTGAGGGTCGCGACCCAGTCTTTGGGAAACATCACTTTAGTTGGTCGAACTGTGGACCAATGGAGTCAGATTATCTTCCAGATGAAACGTTTGTTCATCAGTAACAAATGTTTTTCGTGTCTTCTGCTCTTTACTAAACCTTTTTCCGACAGATGTGTCTAACGCCACGACTACGTTCAGTCCTAAAACCGCGGTACGTCCCGGACTCCGACAGTACCAGCTCCATGTTTTACCTCTTGCCGATCGCTCCATGTACAAACAGGTGAAGGATCAGGGACGGCTCTGCAATCGAACCCCTTCCTGTGGAGGAGCAGCGCAGCCTCTCGGGAGGGAGTCTGTGCTTCCTGTTTACAAACAAACGAGAAATATCAGAAATTAAAAAAAATAAATAAATAAAAATAAAGAAAATTGAGAAAATCACTTCTTTACGAACAGATCAAATCTATTCCTCTAAATCTCCTCCGTGTCAGTCTAAAGCGGGGCCCCCTAGTGGTGCCCTTCGTGTTTCTAAGTAGCCTTGAAGTAGCGCTCAGTTTCTGCTGTGGCGTGGTCACCTGCTGGTCCTCCAGAGTTCTCAGGTTCACCAGGTGAACGTCACAGGGAAGAGACGAGCGCAGTGGCCTGAACGGCCGCAGCGTGACCGCGTGGGCGCCGCCGGGGACGGACATGGTGAAAGGCGGGTGGGACAGGGAGAGCGACGTCAGGTGGGCGAGCAGTGAGAGGTGTTCCACAGAGGCCCCGCCCACTTCCTATCAGAAAACAAACAACACAAAGTAAAGTCACAAAGTCACCGACGCAGAGAACCAAAAACAGAGATGAACTGTTGACACGAAAACAGGATCTACGACAGTAGAGCCCCCTAGGGGTGGGGCGACACCCAGACCCACCCTGAGGAATTTGCTGTAATATACTAATCTGCTAATCTATACTAATCTGTTAATATAATTTAATCTGCTAATCCAGTATAATCTGCTAATCCAGTATAATCAGCTAATCTATACTAATCAGCTAATCTGTTAATATAATTTAATCTGCTAATCCAGTATAATCTGCTAATCTAATTATCTTGGGTTTTTACGGTGATGACAATAAAAACATCTAATTTGCTCATCTTGGGTTTTTACGGTGATGACAAAGAAATGTTCAAAGAAAAGGTTTATAAATGGTACTAAGGTACTGTTCAGTGGTAACACCAACAGCGCTAACGTTCTATGGGAGAACCCACTCAGAGGACAGCTGTCTTACCGCAGCCTCGGCCGTCCTGTCCTCCAGCAGCAGGTCGTACAGACTGGCCGTCACCTTGTTGTCGGTGACGCCCTGACCCAGGCCGCGGTTGTCGTCCTGCTGCAGCCTCCGGTCCAGCACCACCTCCAGCTCGCCTGCAGGGGTCAGAAGGCCAGAGGTCAGAGGTGACAGGATGTAGGAAATGGAGGCTGCTGCGGTAGGTCAGCCGCTCTCACCTGGTCTGAGCGACGCCACGGCCTGACTCTGGGCCGACAGCAGCGTCAGACGAGACGCCTGGTCCTGAAGGAACGCCGCTGAGCTCATCGGGTAAAAGTTGGCCTGCAGCGGGAGCTTGGTCAGCGTCCTCCGCTGCTGCATCTGTAACCAGTTATTAACCAATCACTGACGAGTCCAGTCAAACAGACAGCAGTGACATCACAGTGACATCACGGTGACATCACAGACCTGAAAACCATTGAGGTCAGTGAAGAAACGGTTGCCATTGGCCACGTCGCTCCTGAGCCTCATGACCAGCTCGCGGTTGACCTCTGACCTGATGTCCACTGTGTTGGAGATCTCCAGAGATTTCCCAGCATGCCCTAGGGCAAAGACAGGAACTCTGATATAGAGTCTGATCACACACTGACAGTTAAACACACACACACACACACACGCGTTACCTTCCAGCTGGTAGAGTCGGAGCGTGTGTGTGAAGTGTCTGAAGTAGGTGGTGATGTCAGAGAAAACTGGACCTCTGGAGACCCGGATCAATGGTGGCTCAGACTGTGAGTACAACTGGTGGAGGGCGAGAGACATCCATAATGAGTAAGAGAGAGAGAGGAGGGGAGTGGGGGGGGTCGTCGGTCTGGTCGGTGAGGTCGGTCTGGTCCTGGTTCTGTACCTGGGCTCCTTCCTCCCCCGGCAGAAACAGATATGCTCCACTCTTGTCCTGGTTCCTTCCAGATCTGGTTCCATACCAGAGGAACTGGACCTGGACCTGACGAACTAGACCAGACTTCAGACGCAGCTTCTGAATTTTCCCAAAATAAAACAGTTTGAATCGACTTCAATGTAAAAATATAAATTCTTCCCAAAAACGTAAATACGAAGGTCAAAGGCCGACCTGCAGCAGACCGGTGTCTGGAGAACTCCACACCTGGACCTGTTTGTTACTGAGTGAAAGAGCGCTCTCTGCAGGTCGGTCGAGGCCGGACACCTGGAAGTGTTCTGTCTGAACACTCAGAGGACCGCCGTGATGGACGAAGGTGTACTCTGCCCTGTGGGCGGAGCCAGGCCTCGCCTCGGTCACATAAAACACCACGAGTGACAGAGGAGGAAGTTCTGCCACGAAAGAGAGCTGAAGAGTGACCGCACGCACACACACACACACACACACACACACACACACACACACACAGACACTGCGTAAATAATAACATATCAGATAAGCTAAAATAAAGATATAAAATACAGTGGAACCTCAGATATAAATTTATGAGTCAGCAGCTTTTGAAAGATTTTCCTCGTGACACGAGCTCCATTTTTCCACTACACTGTGTGGCGCTGTCAATCAAAAGAGAAGAATAAAAAGCAGAGAAGGAGAAAAAAAAAGAAGAAGAAAAACAAGGAGAAGAAGAAAAAGAAGGAGAAGAAAAAGAAGAACAAGAAGGAGAAGAAAAAGAAGAACAAGAAGGAGAAGAAAAAAAAAAAAAGAAAAAGAAGAAAAAAAAGGAGAAGAAGAAAAAAAGAAGGAGAAGAAGAAGAAGAAAAAAAGCAGAAGGAGACGAAGACGAAGAAGAAGAAGAAGAAGAACAAGGAGAAGGAGAAAAAGAAGAAGAAAAAAAAGGAGAAAAAGAAGAAGAAAAAAAAGGAGAAAGAAAAAAAAAAAGGAAGGAGAAGAAGAAAAAAAAAGAAAAAGAAGAAGAAAAAAAGAAAAAAAAAAAAAAAGGAAAAAGGAGAAAAAAAAAAAAAAAGGAGAAAAAGAAGAAGAAGCTGCTGCAGTGGAGGAACACAGATAAAACGTTCCATTTCATCAGAAATGAGACTTCCTCCACCTGAAAAACTTGTGTGGACGCCACACTCGGCTTCTCCCACACGGCAGAGATCTGTGCGACCATTGGTCGACCCGTTTCTGCGTCCACGACGACGGCGTCAGCACAGTCGACGTTGATGCTGACGACGGACGTTTGAAGCTGCTCCGCGGGGTTGAAGACGACCACTGACCTGGAACAGACGCGAATGCTGAGCCACTTCCTGTTCATCACAGAGACTGGGACCGAAGGCCACGCCCCTTACCTTGGCTCACTGCTGAGGGTCAGCACGGTCTTCTGAGGCAGAGCATCGTGGGCCGCGATGGCGTCGTCCTGTGGAGACATGGTCACAGGGTTTAGTTGTTACTAGTTGTTAGTTGTTTGCATCAAATGTCAAATTTTAATTCAGTCACCATCTGCAGGAAGGGCTTGGATTGGTCGTGGTGGTACAGGCCCTTGTCCAATAGCAGCAGCCAGTGGGCGGAGCTTTGCAGAACTTGGCGGAGGTTTAAGATGGAGTGAAAAAGCCTGGAAAACAAAGGAATTCTTCATTTCTATTTGCTATAATTTCACCAATGAAAATCTAAGTGTTAACAAACTCCAGACTGGGGGGCTAATGTTAACAACAACATGGGGGGGGGGAGGGGGGGGCTTAATGTTAGAGGTCAGACCGTTTATATGAAATGGATGCAGCAGTTTGTTATCCAGGACTGAGCAGCAACAACTGTTGGTTCAATAGATTAAGAAATAAACACGGAGACACACACCGGGCATGTTAACCCAAAGAGCTGCGCCACCTACTGGATATAATGCTGCCTTTACGTTAATCGCAAAATCCAAACTAAACAAAAAAAGTTCTGTCACTTGGAATCAGCGAGTACACAAAATACTCTTGTACTTGTAACGCGTTTTCAAAATGGCATGTCGTGTGTGGAGATCAAATCCAAACTAAACAAAAAAAGTTCTGTGACTTCTGTGAATCAGAGTACACAAAATACTCTAGAAAATACTGATACACTGAAATATCGGAATATTTTGTTTCGCGACACTGTATCAACACTGAAATATCGCAATATTTTGTTTCGCGACACTGTATCGATACTCTACAGCACAATTAACAGTCAAATATAATAACGGTGTCGGTTCCTTTTTGTGTTGCATTTAAACATCCGACCACCAGGGACTGCATGTACTTGCAGGTGTTTGAGACTTTGAGACAAACAATCTTATTGTTGTGTCTTCCCTCGTGATTCCAAATGTCGATCCCTCTGTTCAAACGTTGCCTGATGTTAAGATGGAACAGCAACTGTGTGTTTTAGTTTTAATATGGTCACAAATATACCGCCGTGCCTACAGTATCGCAGTATATCGCAGTATATCGCAGTATATCGCATTATATCGTATCGGTGCCCCTGTATCGTATCGCCAGACTCCAAGCCCGACTGCATACGTTCACTTTGGGAACAATTGGCTACATCCAGTTCTTATACTTGGTCCATGCTTTGACTCTCGACTCTAATGAATGGTGTGATGGTAGAAACAATGCTAACATCTAGCGGCACACACACTCAGTGACGTGGTACCTGTGACTGTTGCCCATGACGACGCCATCCTTCAACAGAGAGCATGGAGGAATAAATAAGACAGATACATGCTAAGGCTAACCAGTCATTGTGAACTGCTAGCTATTGCGTTTTCCGGTCTTAGCTAACATACGTCCGTGGAGCATTATACAGTGTGACAGTGTGCTAGCAGGGAGAAGCCACCTGGTACCATAGTCGACCACCACGGCCTCACGAGCGGTGCCTGTGACTGCGTCGTGGTGCTGGAACAAGGCCAGGTTCCTCCTTCCCTCCGTCAGACGCTGGAAGTGCTCTTTAGCCGGGAACCCTTCCACCAGCTGACCGTTCCCACGGAAACGACGCATTTCTGCTAGCGTCAGGCTGAAGAGAATTTCTGTCCCTCTGTCGGAGCCACAGATGAAGAACATCAAACGTCAAAGTGTGTGACTAACATTCGTCTCTGAAGAGTTTGGATGAGCGGACCGAGGACCTGAGCACGGCTTCCAGCATCCGGTCCAGACGTTTGTAAAAAGGTCTGGAGGTAAAGTATCCGCTCCAGTAATGATCGTCACGGTCAGCGTAGGTGAAAAAGTCTCCGCCCAGTTTCGGCGGCGTCTCTCCTCTGGAGCTCAGGCGTCTATGAAGGGACTGGAAGTAATCTGAGAGGGTCCCGAACCGAGCCTGGAATCACAGAACCCGGGACTGAAGTCCAGCTGCTGACACGACCTACCGCTGCCCGCGGGGTTCACTCACCTTCACGTGGAGCTCTGGGTGTTGGTCAAAGTAGTCGAAGAGTTTCTGATAGTTGGTGAACTGGACGTCCCACTCACTCGACTCCACAAACCGAAAGTCGTCACCCAGAGGAACGAACAGAACGGAGGAGCGGAAGAGGAGAGACTTCTGACGGTACTGGTCCAATAAGAGCAGAGCTCTGAGACAGAGACGTTGATGTAAGTGGCAAAACACCAGAAAAATAACATTTAAAACAAGTGAAATGACTGTTAACTGGAGAAGACCAACAGTATTTAGAATTTAGAACCTACCGTTCCTGGACGTTGTCGTCTGTGATTGGCTGTGGCGGGATCTTCCACGGACAGGTGACCCGCCTCCCCGGCAGCCGATGGAAGTCAAACTGACAGCACACAGCCGGGTTAGGACCACATGTGTGCGGCACATCGTAGCTGTAGAAGGGCATCATGTGACACATTATGTCACTGCGGGACGACGTATCTGACACAGGAAGTGGGTGTGGTTAGTACGTGACGCTTCACAGGTACCGTTAACAAAAATGAACCTGGAGTCTCACCCCAACTCTGTCGCCATAAAAACTCAAGTGTCCGTTGTTGTGCAAAGTGTTTCTTCACCGCGTAGTGAACTCGTTGGATAACCATGTTGCTAAGTCCCGCCCCCTTTAAGAGGTACGTCATGGATGGGGAATGGCCAAAGGGGTCGATGGCCCATCCACTGCTCGGCTTCACACCTGCAAGAAAACAGAGACTCAGTTCACTAATGTCAACACTAGGGATGTCCGATAATATCAGCCGACCGACATTATCGGCCCGATATTAGCACAAATATCGTTTTTCCTCTGATAATGAAAACCAGATAACGCAAAGCCTGGGTTTTTCCAAAGGACGTGTGCCCTAAAAATAGTTTTGGGGAAAAACAGCTGTATATTAAAGTAAAAGCCACTAGATGGCAGCATTGCAGCTCATTTTATTAATCTCATACTCATACTATTTTTTTTAGGCAGCATTGCAGCTCATTTTATTAATGCCATACTCATACAATGTTTGTGCAGATAAATGACTAACTATTACCAGGCTTATATCAGTATCGATTGATATCGGAATATCAGCAAAAAGTTAATTTCGGACACCGCTAGTCAACACTGCTGGACAGCAGTGCAGAATCAAAGACGAACCCAGGTGTCTGTGAATCCACTGGTGTCCCTCGATCAGCTGATCCAACAGAGCAAAGTAGTGAGAGTTGGCTTCATCAGGCATGACCCAGCCGCCGGTCACCAGCTCCAGCTGCCCGTCTGCCAGCAGACTGCCAAACACAAGAATCCACGACGTTAGTTTTCAGGTCAAAACCAAGAACCTAAAACTAGACTAGAACCAAGAAAATAACTGAAAAAGAAAAGTGAAACTGAAAGTTACCGTTTGACCATGTCTCTCTTCTGCTCGTCGATTTCCGCCCACCATTTGGAGAAATAACTCACCTCCGCCCAGATCATCTTCCTCCTGATGAAAATAAATCAACAGGATAATAAGTTTATAAAAGAGAGCGAGATCGTAAAGAGAGAGGAAACGGACAGATCACCTGCGATCCTCGCCAAGTTTAGTCAACATGTTGTTGAAGATGTGACGGGTCTGATCTTGGTAGTAGTTGTCAAAAGTTTTTATCCATCCTGCAGAAACACACACACACACACACACACACATTTTAACATCTACTATATCACAATCAGAAATGTTATAGCAGTCAAATACTGCCCCTAATGGCGAAAAGCTGCAAAACAGAAATTCAGACCAAAAAAATTTAATGTATTAAAATATACTGTTATTATATGTATTTTACGTGGTAATTTTTTTTTTTTTTTGCAAATACGCAGCTTCTCACCAGGATCATTGTGTGAATGTGGGACAAGAAAAACCTCCAGCGGCTCCTGGTCCCATTCATTTCCCCGGTACTGGATGTCAAAGCCCTGTTTCCAGGCACCGCCATCCGGGTTATCAAAGGGCAGGAGGTCGTAAACATCCAGCATCTGGTAATAACAACATCAATCAGGCTCAACGTCCTCTGAAGTAGGTGTACAAACAGTAGCTGCTAACGTGTAGAGCTAACCTGCGCAGGTCCGTCAGTTTCTCCCCCAGTCAATCGACAACCGGTCATTCTGTCCACGGACTCTGAGCTCACGTTGGCCTTCCCCATCTCTTTGTTGAATGTGTTTTGCTGCATCAGAGAATCTCGCAAAGTTGCCACCAAGCGGTTGTTGTTGCTCAGAAGATGCTCCAACTTGTCAATCTTCTGCCGGAGGTGGTACAAATCCTGCCGACAGATTTGATTTGACATATTTTGTCAGATTGATTCCAAGGTCAGAGGTCAGAGTTGGGTTCTTCTGTTACTTACATTATCCAACTGCGAAGACGGCCCGTCCCCACCGCGCTGAAGCTCTGCCCCCTGCATCAGGTCAAGCATATGGTACAGCAGCAGAACCACGAGACAGAAGACTCCGCCCACCAGCACAGAAAACAACCGGCCTTTCTTCATCCCCAAAATGATAGCTTTTCAACAAACTGCAGATGTGATATTAAAAGATATATATATATAACATAACATATATATATGAATATACTAAGATGTGATATTAAAAGATATATATATAAATATATATGAATATACTTATATTAAAAAACAAAGATTTCTTTTTTTAGGACTTAAAAATTTAAAAAAATTGCAATTATTGAAAATGCTACGATTGAACAACATAAAACAATGAATTGCCTGAGATCCAAGTGAATGATGCAGTGTTAGACAAAGACTCAAAGACACAGAAAACACCGACAAAGACTCAGCAGCAGGACCCCCATGACATGAAGTATTTACGACACAGAAACACAAACAAAACATCGACAAAGATTAATGACAGAAATACTCAGTGACAGGAAGAAGAAACGAGACAAGAATTGAAAGACAACGACAAAAAGACTCAACAACACGGTGGTTTATTGACGCAGAGACTCAAAGGTTGTGAGACTTAATAAATATTTTAAAAATACTGGCAGAAATATCTGTTTACCAGAAGATTAAATAAAAGAAGATTAAAGTGAGAGTGGAGATTAAATGATACATAGATGGAAAAACTGAAATTGACGAAAAATCTTAAACATACAAAGATATGAAGGCTCGACAACACAGAGTCAGTGACAGAGTGAAACTTTTACCAACACTAAAGCTCGATATTAGGATAACCAAAAACGTAGACAGTACATGATAATATATAAACAAAGTCCGCGGAATATTAATAAAAAATACCAAGCATGTAAACAGGCAAACGGAGTCACTCCTCTCCTGCACTTCCGCGTTGGTCAACAACCAGTCAAAGTTCTCACTCTTCGCTGCGCCTCGTGTGTGGTCCTTCAACTTTAGGTGACGTCGCAGTTCGACATTAGTTCCCGGATGTACACACAATTTTGTATTCAACTGTCTTTAACAAATGCTTCTTGAACTTTTATCACCCTATTTCCACCTCGGCAGCAGAAAGTTCAGACAGCTGCCGTTGCTGCGCCTGCGCATTCCTCTTTGTTTTGCTTCCGCTGAGGTTCAGCTGACTCAGCACTGCGGAAACATCACTTCCGGTCAGAGTAGCCTTTACTCTTAAGGGTCTTTTGTTAAAAATTTTGACATAACAAAAAATAAACAAAAAATATATACACCAATCCGCCGACTAATGTTGAGCCACTATGGGGTTTGTAGTTTATTTAAATGCTAACTAGGTCCAGACACAGCCCAGTCAGGACCTGGCTCAACATCTGACATCCATGAGTTTTTAAAGTTTTTTTTAAATAATGATAATAACAATAATTTAATTATAATTAATACATACATAACAAGAAATTATAGGCCATATATGTATTTAATAGCAGTTTATATATTTAAAACATTAAATTAAAAAAATAAAATAAAAAAGTCTTGCCCGTGATAAGTCACGTGACCGCGCCAGATCGTGACGTCCTGTCAGCTGACAGTTGCCTCTGTAGTTGGAGTTTTCCTTCGACCTTCAGTTCGGTGAATCTTCCATTCCTCTGCAGCACAACTCAGCTCCTGTTCTCCTACCATGGCGAGTCAGTCTCAGGGCATCCAGCAGCTGCTGCAGGCCGAGAAGAGAGCCGCCGAGAAGGTGGCCGAGGCCCGTAAACGTGAGTATGACGGGCGGCCTGGTAGTTTACCACAGCCCTTTAGCCAGTTAGCCAGTTAGCCGCAGCGCCAGTGAGCGTTTATCATCCCGGTGAAGTTCGGGTCCGGTTCGGAACGGAACCACAACCACAACTTGTTTCAGGGCTACAGCCAGGTCTTTTCTATGGCTTAGAGTGACGTTTATGATCGTCAGTGGGGAAAACAATGACATCTGGCTGTTGATTGACATACACGTAGGTTTTCTCCACTTATATTTTTTCACATTTCTTTCCGATTTGATGATAAATCAGAAAGTAATCAACAGAATTCGAGAATTATTATTATCATCATCATCATTATTATTATTATTATTATTACCACCACCGTCGGGAAATAAATTTCATTTGTTCCTCTTTCTAGCCTGTGGGTGTCACGTGATTACATCATGTGACTAAGACTCAGCTCGAGAAGTCAAAATAGAAAACGATATAGGATTTAATCGTAGCACCGTGATTTCATATCGGATCCATTTGAACTGCTTTATAGACTTGAACAGGGTTTAGTGATCTAGTCCTAGTCCACTTAAAAGGTGGGTTAGACCCGGACTGTGAGCCGCACCTCCGTCTCCAACTGTCCGGAGACGTGAGCACTCGTGCAGTCGCCGTGTCCACCGTCCATGTCTTTAACATCCTGTCTGTCTCCTCAGGTAAGAACCGTCGTCTGAAGCAGGCCAAAGAAGAGGCTCAGGCTGAGATCGAACAGTATCGTCTGCAGCGAGAGAAGGAGTTCAAGACCAAAGAGGCTGCGGTATGTTTACGTCATCATGACCTGCTTTTCATTGGAAGGCTGTATAATAAGACATCAAATATTTATCTTTTAAAAAATATATTTAATTTTGCCTCTTGGTTCCAAACACAACCTCCTTCATGTCTGAGCTCAGGGTTGATTACAGCAACACTGCTGTGGAGCAGAGACACGTTTAGGAATTGTGTGGATTTGTTTTGGATTCTGTAGGGTTCTGCTGTCCGCACCAACGTCCCCGTGTTGATCAGTTTGTTTCGTTAACGTTCACCCTTTTTTTTTTCTGTCTTCAGGCCCTTGGTTCTCATGGAAACAGCGCAGTGGAGGTGGACCGCGACACAGTAGAGCGGATGGCTCGTATCCAGGCCAGTTACCGCGGTAACAGGGAAGCGGTGCTTGGAGAACTGTTGCGACGCGTCTGCGACATCCAGCCGGAGTTTCACGCAAACTACCGCGTGGCCGGCTGAGGGGACAAAGCAGGGGCTTAAAGTTCAGGGTGGGACCATCACGGGGGAGGGGGTTCATGGATGTTAGCAACAAAAAAGCTGCAAATATTTATTTTGAAGGCAATTCCTGCCTCAGCGGGGTGTCAGTAAATGTCGTGTTACCATGGTGATGTTTACAGAAAATATATATTCAAATTCATGTTTGTCCGTTGGTGTAAAACGTCAAATGTCAATGTTTGTTGAGGTTTCAATTATAAAGTAGATGGAATAGAATGATTCCATGATGTTGTTTTCTCTGAAACGGCCTATTCTGATTGGCTGGAAGGTGGTGATTACTTTGTTGTGAATTTCTTTTGTGTCCATGTGAATTTCTGTTTATATGTGAGGTGATGATAATGATGATTAAATTATAATAAATCAACTGGCCTTTGGTTGTGTGATAATGTGGTGTGATTAGCCGAGTCAAAAAAAAACCAAAACAAACGTCACCAGATCAAGGTCTGAAAAGACTAGTTCATGATTGACAGTCGACGGGTATGTCTACAGACTCAAGAGGATTCTCCAGGGAGGTCGCCATCACTGCATCCGAGTCTAAAAGTTTTCAGTCTAAACGCTTTACGTTTGTCACGTGTCACAGCTGTAAAGGCAACACTTGAGTCACAAAGTTAAAAAAAAAAAAATCTAAATGCTTCAATACAGTCCAGAACTCATTATATGTTTGTCACAAATTTAAAAACAAAAATTCTAAACGGTTCAATACAGTCTCATTATATGTTTGTCACAAAAAAATTCTTCTCCAGTCATAATTCACCCCCTCTCCGTTAGAGCACCGCTGCTAAAGTTGCGTCCACAACGTGGCGCTGTAACTGCGTTTAATGGACGATACAGATTTAACGTGAGCATAAAATTACCCGATATTGGTAGAATACATGTGTATACGTGTCAATATTATATGAAAAATAAATAGAACTTGTTGAAAACTACCCCAAACAAAGGCCCTGCTAATGGGTTGAGAAAGGCTAAAACGGTGACCATGTGTTTTTGTGTTTTCTATACAAACCGACATGTTTATTGACACATCGTTCTTTGATTCATTGTATTTCTCTACTTTTTTTTGTTGTTCCTTCCAGTCTTTGATCCTTTTAGTAAACGCAATGCCTGTCTCGTGACTACCTTCTCAATCGCTATTGGTTCAAATGTCAAATCTCCTCCTCCTGCGTCGCACGTTTTTACGTCAAAACGCAGCAACCGGAAGTGGTACCGCGGCGAAAGCAGTCAGCGAGGAGGCTTTTTACTCCGCTCTTGTTTCGTCTACGTGTTCTCCTTCACTGTAGCGGTTTTGTTTGTTTCTTTTCTTATTCTATTTTTTTTTTGTAAATCAAAGTGAGGCGAAGAAGGAGGACTTTACCGGAACACTTTTTTTAAGGTCAGTGAGCTCCAGAGTATTTATGTGTGACCTCTGCTGCTAAGTTGCTGCACCCTGGTGGCCAACGCGCTAAACTCGCTTGAAATCTGTACAGATCGAGTAGATCTAAAGTGTAAACTGACACGGAATGGGCCGTGGAAGAGTCCAGAATAAAACCGATGTCAGAACCGGACTGGTTCCGGATCGATGTGGGTTTACCTGACGGTGTTTTTTAGTGTTGTAGTCTTCGGTGTCAGTGCTACGTTGGCATCAGTGCGCGTTCCCGCTGACATGTCATTTTAACAAAAAAAAGAAGTTTTTTTTATCGTTTTTAATTAGCGTCTGTATCGTGAGTACGGCGATAACAACATTAACACATTGAGTCGATTAATTAATTGTGAACCGTCAGCAGACTAATGACTAAATCTTAATTGTCGTGTTAAAGCAGCGGCGCTTTGTCGAACAAGAAAAGTAAAGTGTTCTCGTGTTTCTGTTCTCATAACAAAGGGAGAACTGTCATCAATAAAAGGGCAAAATTACTCACGAGAGCGAGGGCGAAATAACCAACAAGGAGGCAAAAAAACAAAAAAACAGTGTTACCGTAATAGACGTTAAAGTGGCAAACAAGTATAAAACAAGTGGTTATTTTATTAGAGATTTTTTTTTCTAATAGTGTGTGTAGTGTCTGTGGACAGAGACAGACATTCGTCTGTGGTTTCATCCAGACAAAGACTTCATGACTAATATTTGTTGAAACAGTTTTAAACATTGCTGTAAAATCCAAAAGAAATGACTAATCACTAAGAAAAATAACTTTTAGGATCATTTTTTCACCCTATTTGACAGTGACAGACGGAGGGTTAGTCCACTTCTCCAAATCAAAGTGAATTCTTTCAGTTCTAGATCATGATTTTATTGTTATTATTGTTGTAATGACTCTAATACAACACGTTACACGGTCTGGCGCGGCGCCTCAGCATGAATTATTGTTGGTAACCATTTAATAAATGTTTTCTTCATGAACTCGTTTGAACCAGTCTTCCTGGTGTTGTTTCCAGTTTCTGTGACCCTTTAACCCTTTACTCCACCCTACGTGTTCGCTTACATGTACTGGCACGATGGAACAGACAATCTTTCTCTTTTTTATCTCTTACATCAGTGTCACCAGAGTCATCCAGAGGCTCCAGAGGACATTGTGTACTGACTTTTTACTGTCATTTTATGACAACAAGTGTCAACAGGAACAGGAAACGCAGACTTTGGTATTAATTACAATTTCAATTCAATTACAGCAAGGTTTGCCCTAAAGATGTTTATCTTGAATTACTTCTTTCAGTTCAATTAAGTCAACTAATTAAGAAAATACCCATAGACAAATAACAGCCCCCCCCCTCCCCCCCTCCAACAGCTACCACGTCACCTACCCCCACCACGAGTGTTTACAGACAGTGGTCAAATTTAAAGTTTCTTTTGCACAAATGCACAGTTTTAAAAATTAAATTAAACATTAAAATCTGTATTGTTACAATGACAACAAAGGCCGTTCTATTCTATTCTATTGAGAAAAGTAAAAACAACAGTTATTGGACGGTTTGTCTCAGTGGAACGAAACTTCAAACGAAGCCTCTCAAAATGTCAGCATGTCCGCCGCAGAAGAGCGTGACGTCAGCAAAAAATGATGTTCACAAAAACAACTGAGATCACACACTGAGCGAGCGACTCTGAATATTAGGTCGTGCAGTTGTCAAGTTATTATAGCTAAAGAACACAGTAATCGCCCCCTGGTGTAACAGTCTGTTTGGACTGGTCCCACTGGTCCCACTGGTCCATGGTTCTGTCCGTCAGGATCTGACCTGATCGGTGATGATCTGGTAAATCAATAATCTGTTATAACGAAGATAAGGAGGCGTCACCTGTCGACTACAGCTGAGAGGACACCGTGACCTGAAATCAGGAGTTGTTGCTGATACCAGGTCGACCTCAACGCTGCCTGCTGATTGGCTGACAACCGACTATCTGTTTTTATTGGCTGTTAAACTTCAAAGTCAGGTGTCACAGACACAAACGCCGCTTCATCAAGATCACTGGCTGCTGGAGGTCAAAGGTTATGGCACCGTGTGTGTGTGTGTTGTAAGAACGGAACATCATCTAAAGTCCAGTTAAATAAACAGACACAACTGACACAGACACTCGATGGCGAGGAGCACGTGCCGCTTTGTCGTTGCCAGCGGCGCTAACAGCCCTTTCCGTTCATTGAATGATCCTCTAATCTAATTGGACGGAGGCAGAACCAAACTATTAAGTTCCATCTAATCAGCCTGTTTGCCTCCTGTTGCCCCGCGGCTGTGGCGGCCAATGAGATTACAGCAGGGCGTGTGCTCCGTGATGTCACACTTCTTTAGTCGAGCTGCGTCTTGGCTGCTCAGTGAAGAGCAGTCTGACTATCTGATTGGACGGATCGACATCAGGGCAGCGCAGGTAAGAGGAACGACGGAGCAGCGTTGGTGAAGATGATGATGTTGTTGTTGTGATGTCGGACCTGTGTTTGACCAATCGCTGGGTTAGAATTCCAGGCTGTTGAACTTGTTTTTGTGTGATCATATTTATTCTGAGCTGCAGCTTTAAAACCACGGGCTGCTGTAGAAGTGACTTCAGCTGCTGTGATGTCACTGAACGTGTGCACAGACAGGACGGCGGCCTGAGCGTTCATCGTTTGGTTGTTTGTTTGTTTTTTATCATAAACGTCAACCTCGGTCTGTCACGTCTCGTGGGTTCAGTCCAGGTTCAAAGTGTATCTTTATATCTGCTTATCTTGATCTTATCTTGTCAGTCTCAGTCGTGACTCCAGGCGGTTACTGGTTGTCACTGGTTGTCACTGGTTGTCACTGGTTGTCACTGGTTGTCACTGGTTGTCACTGGTACGTCCCGTCCTGGGGAGGAGCCGCGGTCTGTGACGACGTTAGCTGCCAAACCGAGACATTTATGGTTGGACTCAGTTATTGGAGCACGGTCGGGAAGACTAACAAACCTTTTACAAATGTATTCCAGATCAGCCACAGCACTACAAAGATGGACCACCACAACCACGCCCACGACCACGCCCACCACACCACGCCCACGTCTACCACCGCGGGTCACGACCACGGAGTTGGAGACCAAGGAGGACAAGGAGGACACGGAGGACACGGTGGAATGGTAAGGTCTTCCTGCGTCCTGTGGCACGTCGTCATGTTTAAAACCCTTCTCTGTGGTGACCGTTGTTCCTGTCGTCGCCCAGGCCATGACCTTCTACTTCGGCTACGAACACGTGGAACTGCTGTTCAGTGGAATGGTCATCAACTCCCCCGGAGGTCAGAATCCATGCTGCGCTGTTATGACGTCACTGAGCTACGGCTAACATTTCTGTCTACGAGCGAATAAAAATACAAAAAGACAAGATCTTAGAGCTAGTCCCAGGGAATCTGAACTCTGACGATACTTGATCGTTTTATGTCTACGTTACGTTTTAATGCCTCTGTGCCTGTAACGCTGCCCTCACCCACCTCCCCTCTCGTCCAATCAGAGATGGTCGGAGCCTGCATCGGTGTTTTTCTGTTGGCCATCCTGTACGAGGGGCTGAAGATCGGCCGCGAGACGTTGCTGCGTCGCAGTCAGGTCAACGTGCGCTACAACTCCATGCCCCTCCCTGGTTCTGACGGGACTGTCCTGATGGAGACGCACAAAACAGTTGGGTATGTGATCGAAGCCTTTCTCGTCTTTCTGGTTTCACCCGCAAAATTCAAATATGCCTAAAAAAATAAATTGTTTCAATTTGAAAAGGTCGATGCCCTCGTTTAAAATAAAGAATCACTTCTCTCTCAGGTAACTTTAAGAATTCTAGTAAAGGTCAGGGGTCTCAATCTTATTGGTCTGAGGGCCACTCCTGTCTGTGTCATGTTAGAGGGAAGCCATTTTAATAGGGATGTCCGATATTATCGGCCCGATATTCGCATAATTATGTAATATCTGTAAGAATCGTTAGCAGTTTTTCCTCCGATAATGAAAACCCGATAACACAATGCCTGAGTTTCGCCGAATGATGTGTGCCCTGAAAAAATAGTTTATGGGGAAAAACGGCTGTATATCAAAGTGAAAGCCACAAGGTGGCAGCATTGCAGCTCATTTTATTAATCTGTTTAACTCTTAATAAATAAATATTACCATTTCTATTTTAGTGGGAGCAACTTCTGTCAGAAAATAATTGACAAACACTGCTTTAACTCATCACCTTAGTGAGCGGCAGTTCACCTCCGTAACCACCAGGGCACCACTGTATCGGTATATCGGTATCGGTTGATATCAGAATTGAAAATTAAGTGTTTGGACAATATCGGATATCGGCCAAAAGTTCATATCGGACGTCCCTCCATTTTAACACTTTGGTGGAACTTGAGCAGAGCAGACGTTCCATGGTTTCGTACTTATGTCACGTCAGAAACTTCGAACTAACCGTTCTTTATTCTGTCACGTTAAAGCGATTGTATGGACACGGTTGACCCTCACCACCTGGGGGTCTCACAGTGAGTCGTTCTATGACATCATTCACTCTGGTGTCAACTGTGTGGGAAACATGGACTGGGACTTGGCCCACATTCCAGGAGGTTGAGACCCACGGTTGCGGTCCTGGTTTTGGGGTCTGGTTCTCTTTACTAGGGCTGCACCACTGCTGCAGGGCTGAAATCAGACTGTAGGTGGACGGTCTGATTGTTCTCCCCCCACACACACACACACACACACACACACACACACACACACATCACAGTACTGTTCCAGGGACACCCTGCTGTGTACTACTACAAATATTACTTTGATCCTCCTTCAGACATAGGTTCGGTGCAAAAATAAAGAAAACAATGCAAATCTACAGTGAGTTCACTTCCTGTAGCATTCAGACCCGTTCCACCCAGAACAAAAGTTCACACTTGATTTTCCATTTTTTATTTTATGGAACTCATTTGTGTCCACAACTATGATTTGACTTTAGCCAAATTTTCCCAAAGATGTTAGCGTCGAAGGCTTTGGTGCACCCTGACATTTCCTGTTTGACGGTTTCTTTGTTGTTGTTGTTGTTTCATTTCTTGATTTTATTTCCTTATTTTGTTGAATTCTGTTTTCCTCCACGTCCACAGCTGGGTGTCAGTGACTTTTTCCCTCCACACTCACATTTTGTACCTTTTTCAGTTTTGTGTTACATTCACTCGGTGCGGCTCAGACCGAGAGAGATTGTGTGCAGCCTCCTGTAGGTGGTGCTCTCCTGCAATAATACTATGAACAATGTTACCAACGACCCAAACAAGGCCGTGGCTAAGGCTCAACCACAAACCTTTTAAATAAATCCTAAGACAGTTTATACATTTCATCGACTCCTTCAACTAAAGGTGCTAAGCTAGCATGACGAGGTGGATTTCCAAACGATTCACCCCACCATAGCTAACTAACCCCACCATAGCTCACTCTGGTTTCAGTAGCTCTTGTGTAATCTAATAGTTTACAATATTGATTTCTAAAATTGTAACATTTATAAAGTTGCAGCACAACAATACCGCAATGCTAACGTTTCGCTCTTATTGTTGACTTGCTAATGTTGCTATTGGAAAAACGCGGTCATTAAGGTTAAAGGTTAAATACTGCATATTATTCGACACATTATCGTTAGGATTAGTTAACTTTTCTCTTCTCCCTGTTGCCTTCCCAGACAGCGGATGTTAAGTCCAGGCCACTTCCTGCAGACTCTACTACACGTCATCCAGGTGGTCGTTAGCTACTTCCTGATGCTTGTCTTCATGACTTACAACGCTTACCTGTGTATCGCCGTGGCAGCTGGTGCGGGGATGGGCTATTTCCTGTTCAGCTGGAAAAAGGCAGTAGTTGTTGATATCACTGAGCATTGCCATTAGCCATGCGCTAATTAGCACGTTGTCATCTGGTTTAATTTCTGCTGATTCTAAGTGATAATCAATCATGTGGCCAAAGGCCCTCTGAGCGCAGTGTTTGGGGAGCATCTAAAACAGAATTTTTTTATTGTATAGTTTCCATGGCAACACAGACTTGTTAGCGCTAGTGTTAGTGCACAGACTAGCCACTAGCCAACACATATGGCCAGTAAAGCTCCTACGATCTTCTGCTGTCATGGATTTCCCTGAATTTTCTCTTTTCAAAAAGGACCTTCTGGTCCTCAAACCAGCCAATCAGAGACAAGATCACATGAAAGGGACTTGATTCTTGCTAACGTTTCTGTGCCATTATAACGAGTTTGTTTTAGCCGCTGCTAGTCAGTGGAACTAGCTCACATACACTAATCAGTAGGTGTCAGCGTCATTAGCAGCTCATTAGAGGAGACACAAATCATAAACATATTTAAACTTTAAGAGTATAATTTATTAATTACACATTGTAACGCTAGAAAAATTCACATTTTTATTCTTTAATTTATCTTATTTTAAGTGTAAAATCTTCATTTAAAATGTTTTTTTCTTTGATCGTTTACAGGTTCGTACATCACTTCTTTGATTCATCATTTGAACTAAACTGAAAATGTACAATTTTCCCCGTTTACGTACAATAAAATGAACACCTTATTTTAATGTTTCAGTTATAGAGACAACTATGGGGTTTTTTTTTTTGGTTTTTCTACCTGTCCAGTTAGTTTCATTTTTATTTTATTATTTTAGTAAAAAACTAAGTCAACATCTTGTTTTATTTTCCCGTGGGCCTTAAACACCACGTTGTTTGCCTTAACATGGTGGTAGATGGTGATCTATAATGGTGACGTTAAAAACCCAAAGTTGCATCTTTTGTCATTGATGATGTCACAGATTGATTCATACTGAGGCAGGCGCCATTAATTAGTGGACCAATGAGATTGCTGGGACAGATCAGTTACCGTTGTGTCCACCTTGTTTTGTCCAGGTGCTAATCGTTGTTTGTTGTTCGTTCAGAGTGAGTTTTTGTACTTTTTTTTTTTGTTTATGACATAAAATGTGATGAAGGAATATTGTTGTCTGAAAATAAACAGTTGTATCACAAATGCTGGAATAAAAAAAATGAATAAAGAACTCGCGGACTGTGAGTTAGCTTCATTGTTCACGGATGTAAAGTGTAAATGTGTGTAACTTTGGCTTAATTTAATTAATAATTAAATATGACAAAAACAACAACAAAATTTCACATTTCTCAGCCAAAACTAAACTATTAAACATTAACCGAAATTTATGATAACACAGAAGCCATGATTCCAAAGCCCTTGAAAACTTAAACAAATGTTATAAAATGGAACGCACCTATAATCCCGGCTAATTACTATGACGTCACTTGTGCTTCTGACCCAAACACCAAACAAAGATAAAAGGACAACATCACATTAATAATTTCATAATATTTCGAACGTCAAGACCACAGCTGACACTTCAACTTTTTGTGTTTTTTTTTCTCTAAGTTTCCCATTTATAACGGTTGTAATGCTGTCGTTTAATTTACCGGAAATTACGCATCGTAACAATTTCCGGGTCGCAGGTTCCTGTCAAATGTTTGTTTCGGGTCAAATCGGACTCTGTCATCCGCTTTTGTCGCCTCTGTATCCAGAAGTAATTCGGTGACACATCCGTTATCGTGTCTCTATTCCGGTTCTCCCGTTTTTTTGTGTCACCGACTCAGTGATGGCCTCCAGGCGGCCCGACAGCTTTGATGGGCTCGGCTACCGGGGCCGAGATGACCCGCTGTTTGGAGCCAACTACCCAGCGAGGAGTGCCGCAGGAGCCCAGGCAGAGATGCACCACTGGGTCACGACACCGCCGGACATCCCCGGGAGCCGCAACCTGCACACCGGAGAGCGAACACCGCAGTTTGCCGACACTCTTGGAGACCACGGAGAGTACGGCGCTACAGCCGGATTGGACGCACCGCAGCCCGGCGTGCCGTCCGGAGGTAGGTCTGCGAAGGGTAGCGTTAGCTCCACGGCTAACGGCTGTATGGCTAATAGGTCAATAAAAAAACACGACCTGCCACAGAAACTGAGGTTGATGCTGTTGCACCGTGATTATTAAGACTCAGTTAGATGTAACAAAAGTTATATTCTGTTAATGACAGGCTAGCTCCACCACTGCTATTAGTTAGCAACCGTGGTGTTGGCTAGAACATAAATATAACAACATTTAGTTTGATAATCGTTACGAAACAGTAAAAACAAGATGTTAAATGATATTCTCACCGATCCTAACAGTGTGGGGTTTTTTTATGATATTCTCACCGATCCTAACAGTGTGTTTTTGTTTTACTTCATTTAAACTCAGTTATTGACTTTTTTTGGTTTAGTTTTTATTTAAAGGAAGAATCGATCCTTTTGACTTTTCTTATTTTGCTGATTCTCTTTGGCTTCTTCCGGTTTAATGGAGAATTATGTCAAGTTCTCTCCTTTTATTTTCCACGGTGGACTTTGTGAAGTCTCGTCACAAACATTCAGTTTTGGGACGATGTCAACACGATGATGTTCTTGTCTTTTCAGAGCAGCTCAATCGATTTGCTGGATTTGGAATTGGACTCGTTAGGTTGGTGTTTACGTTCTTCTCTTCGCTGGTAGTTTATCAGGTCAAATCTGTAGATTTTAACGTGAAAAAGCGTGAACAGAACGAGTGTCTGTGTTCAGTCTTTTCACAGAGAACGTCCTCTCTCATCCCTGCATCGTGTTCAGGCGACAGTGTCAGGTGAGTCATGTGACCTCTCTTCCCTTTTCGACGTAACACGTGACGTTTTGATGAATGTTACTCCTCTAACGTGTGTTTCAGGTGAACTACCACGCCCGATGTTACCACCTGACACCGTTCAGCACCGTGGCCGTCATGTACGCGATCACAAAGGCTCAGGTCAGGGGTCGTCCGATGGAGAACCAGTAAATCTGTCTGTACATTTGAACCTGTTTCCAATAATCAATCATATGAATTGATGACGATGTTTAGGGGGTGAAGTGTCTGTGGAAGGGCATGGGCAGCACCTTCATCGTTCATGGCATCACACTGGGCGCCGAGGGCATCCTGAGCGAGTTCACACCGTTACCACGGTAATGTGGTATTACTTATTTATATGTATTACTTATTTTGACATATGCTTCATAGTATTGCTGTAGTAGTACTGCAGTATATGTTGACTGTAGTAGTGGTGTACTAGTTTTTGTTTGTTTGTTTTTTGGTTTAGAGAACTTCCTCACAGATGGACCTGGAAACACGTGGGTGGACATTTCCTTCTTAAAGGGTCAGTCCACTGAATCCTCTCTACCCCCCCCACACACACACACACACACACACACACACCTGATCATTGACTAGTTCTAAGTAAGTGTTGACTTTTCGTCCTCAGGCTAACGGCTGTGGTGGCTCTACCGTTCTACTGTGCCAGCCTCATCGAGACCGTCCAGGTTTTTATTGATCCATGATCAAAAATCAGATGTTTTAGACCAACGTTTACCAACGTTTGTCATTGTGTGTCTTCTATTCAGAGCGAGATTGTTCATGATGAATCGTCCTCCGGTCTCCTGGACTGCATCCGTGAGGGGATGGCTCGACTCCTGGGAGTGGGCGCTCCTCACAGCCGCCGTCTGCTCCCTCTCAGCGCTCTGATTCTCCCTGCTGCGCTGCACGCCATCCTGCGCTACGCTATCCTGTCCTGCGTGCAGCGACTGGCGCTGTGGCTCCATCAACGCACCAAAAAGCAGGACGCGGCGCCTTCCAACCCCCTGGACAGCTACTTCCCGGAGCTGGCCGCGGCTTGGGTCGGCTCGCTGGTGGCCGACGTGGTCATGTTCCCTCTGGAGACGGCGCTGCACCGACTGAGTCTGCAGGGAACGCGCACCATCATTGATGCCACCGACGGCGTGATTGCTGCTGGGAACGGTGGCAGCCCGCTGGTCCTGCCCGTCAACACGCAGTACGAAGGCTTTTCTGAATGCCTCCATGCCATTCGCCGCAAAGAGGGCGTGGCTGGCTACTACAGGGGCTTTGGAGCGCTGGTGGTGCAGTACGCCCTGCACGGAGCCTTGCTAGCAGCAGCACGGACTCTGCTGAGGCTACTGCTGCTGGAAGGGAAGCTGAGCTAAGCTAACGATGGATTCATTCAAACATCAGAGTCAGTTGACTGAAGGGAAGCGTTCAGCTGATGGACAGGAAGTGTCCAATAGAACTATTTTATCAACAGGCCAACCATTGAAATCCCACCGTCTGTGACTTTTCAACAACACAGTCTGTTGTTTTAACAATAATCCCGTCTTTTCCTGCCACTGAGGAATATGTCACTCACAATACACTATTTACATCACCTCGAGGTTTCAGTTTTTAAGCCACATGTAAAGCAAATTAGGGTGCAGTACCACTACTTACCCACCAGGGGCTTGCTCCAAATAAGGTTGGTGGCATTCCCTTATCTCATTACAACAAATTGAGCGAGCGATGACTGCTGCAGTCAAACCAACGGCGTGCTCTCAGAACTCAACAGCTTTGTAATTTAGAAACATTATAATCTTAATCAAACCTAAATGTAATTTATCAAAATCACCCTGACAACAGTCAGTGGGGCGTAGCTTAAAAAAAACCCATTACACCCCTTCCTGTCTTAGCATGAACTAACAATGTGCACTGCGGCTCGGGCTGTTGTTTATTTGTACAAAGTTGTAAAAATGAATTGAAGGTAGATCTAGGTTAAACTGTGTTTGATTCATCCACATTAAAAATCATCATCTTTTCAAACGACGATTTTAAAATAAAAGTCGATGTCGAAGTTGGAAAAGGCTGAAAAAAAAATCAAACATGTTTTTATTGTCACAAATGTTAAATGTTGCACTGGAGCTGTGGAAAAAAATATAAAATTGAACATTTGTTGTGTGTTTTGACTGTAAATGAATCAGCTGGAAATAAAGTTCATGTCAAACAGACTCTGACTCTTCACTGGATTTTAATATCTCATAAAAATCGACGCTTTGACCTGACCATTATATATATTTTTGGGTCATGGAATATCACGTTTTTTATAGTTTAAATGTAGTATTTCATTTTCTGACTTTGAGCTTTTAATATTAAAAAGGCAATTTTTTTGAACATTTACTTTTTATATTTCCACTGCTTTTCTAATAATTTTATTCTTATATTTGTTTAAATTTTGCTTTTCTAATAATTTTATTCTTATATTTACTTCCGATCTAATTAATTTTCATGTTTAAATTTTCTGTGACGACTCCGACTTTATTATGTCCCATTTTCGACGCGATATTTAATAAAAATTAAATTTTTTACGTCAATATTCTACCTTAATATCACGTTCCAACTTTGAATGACACAACGACGAAATCCTTTTATATTTTTTATATCCCTAAAAACTTCTAACATGAAAACGGAACCAATATTTTCCACAGAGCGGAACCTTTGAGTCGTCGATGCTTGTTTCCACTCGGACCCGATATCTCCTCCCTCGTGATCTCGGCTGAGCATCTTCGCCCTGCGTGTTTACTGGGTTCTGTTTCTACGTATATTCTCCGGTAAAGTTCACCACCGGTACCGGACATGCCGGGAGGCGGGAATCCCGGGGGCAGCGGCGGCAGCGCTCTGTTCTCTGGGTTCCGGGTTCTGGGTCAGTATTGCAACCACGTGCCGCATGTTCTACGGTACCATCAAAAACACAGGGAGTTCTACCTGGTGACGACGGTCGGCAAATGTCTGCCTTTATACAACGTAAGGAACCTTTGACCTTTGACAGCCGTAGTTTTGACCTTGTTTGTCCAGAGACGGCTGCCGTAAACACAGTTTGTTGAAGAGATCGTTGAAGTTTCTTGGAGTTAGATTATAGGAGTTACAGTAGACTGTTCAAGTTAGAAAAGGTCGCCCTCTGTTGGATGGAGTTGGAACAACTTGTATTAAAACTATGTGTTTCTAATGCTTTTGTTTTTTTATTTTTGTTTTTTTTATTTTAGGTTAAAAGATTGGGGATCGTTGCTGTCAGTAAGTATGACATAACTACAGTTTCAAACTGTCGGCTCTTTCTGATTGGCTCCTGAGCTCTGATGTCATACTGTGTTTGCTCACCAGGTAACAGCCTGCCTGATGACATCACCTGTGTGGCCGCAGACAGAATGTTGTCGTTTGCTGCTGCGGGAAAAGTGGTCAGCGCCTTTGCCCGAAACAAAGAGGTGGTCATGCGTTTTGAAGGTCACAAACAGGAAGTGCGTCTGCTGCTTCCTCTGGGCGACCACCTGATCTCTGTCGACAGCGGTGGGGACTTCATTGTATGGGACGTCCAGAGCGGCGGTGAGTGGAAGAGGGCGGGGCCGCCGCTGTGTTCCTGTGCTGTGATTGGATCTGTCCTGTTAACCGTCCCGTGTCGGTGACTCATTACAGACGAATACCTGCGTCTGCATTTCAACCCCGGTACCTTCGATGTTTCGGCCATGATGCACCCGAGCACGTACATGAACAAGGTGCTGCTTGGAAGTTCCCAAGGTGCACTGCAGCTGTGGAATATCAAGACCAGGTAAAGGAGAACCTGAATCTTAGGTCGCAGAACCGTCTAGAACAAAAGGTTCCCAACCCCTGGTCCGGGGACCGATGTCGGTCAATAGGTCATTTGGTACCGGGACACAGTGAAAAATTATACTTCAGTTTTATATTTATGTACTTCATTCAAAAGTCAACGGTCTGTGATTCTAACCTCCTGACTGTTCTGCGTTCTCTTTAGTAAGCTGCTGTACACCTTCTCTGGTTGGTCAGCAGGGGTCACAGTTCTACAACAGGTGAGTCACTGCTGCATCGGATGAGATCAGAATAAAAAATGTTTTTTTTTTCCTCCACACTTGATTGAAATCAATCGGTTAAAAAATGAACAAATAACTTCCAGAGTCCTGCGGTTGACGTGGTCGGCATCGGAACAGCAACGGGACGCATCATCATTCACAACATCCGATTGGATGAGACACTGATGAGCTTCACTCAGGACTGGGGACCAATCACTGCGCTGGCTTTTAGAACAGGTACAGGAGGCGGGGTCTGCTCCGGTGACCGACCGGTTCAGAACCCGTTACAAACTTCTGTCTCTCTCGTCTTCTTCAGACGGTCCGCCTGTTGTGGCGTCCGGCAGTCCTCAGGGCCACATTGCATTCTGGGACCTGGAAAAGCGTCAGCTGCTGACTCAGCAGAGAAACATGCACCACACAGCCGTCGCGGGGGCAACGTTTGTGAATTCAGAGCCGCTGTTGATCACGAATGGAGCTGACAACGCAATCAAGGTGAAAGACAGGAAGTGACAACAAAAAAAAACATTGATGGATGTTCACTGTGTTCTAATGTTCTGTTTCTTCTTCTTTATTTCTACCAGGTATGGATTTTTGACCAGGAAGGGGGAGGAGCCAGGCTACTTCGTAGTCGTGAAGGTCACAGTGCCCCGCCCACTACTATTCATCACCACGGCAGTGATGGTAAAAACATCCTCAGTGCAGGTGAGCGGTGAAATCGTCTCTCATTGGGTTGAATGTTTGTCACCTGGAGTGATTAACACCAGTGAGTCTGCCACCCGCAGGTCAGGATGGAACACTGCAGTCTTTTTCTACAGTCCATGAGCGCTTCAACAAGAGCCTGGGTCACGGTCGGTGTCGTCAGCTTATAAAAATAGAATGAATTATCATTAGCTAGAAGATAACTAAAGGTTAGCCGATACGCAGTTCATGAAAAGTCGCAAAAAAATTAATCTGTGGTGTGTGTGTGTTTTCAGGGTCCGTCAATAAGAAGGCGGAAAAAAACAGGCAGAAGAAGGGTGTTGCTTTTAACGAACTACGTCTTCCTGCAATTACTTCTTTCTCCTCTGGTGGGCGCTGGTTTTTATTTCCCTCTTTCTGTCTCCGTCCGTCTCTTTTTGACACTCTCTGTTTCCGTCAACAGCCCTGGCACGTCAGTCGGACTGGGACGGCATCGTAGCCTGTCATCGCGGTTGTATCGCAGCTACGACGTGGAACTACCAGAGGAGCACCATGGGAGTTTACCACCTGATGCCTCCGGCCAGCGCTCACAAGGATACCGCCGCCACGGTAACGCCAAAAATGTTTTGGGTTTTTTTTGGTTTTTGCTCATTTCCTGTTGCCTGAATAAGACTAAATCACTTCCTGTTTTGCAGACCGCCACCATCACTTCCTGTGGGAACTTTGCTGTGATTGGCTCGTCGTGTGGACGGGTCGATGTCTATAACCTGCAGTCTGGTCTCCATCGTGGTTGCTATGGTGAAGAAGGCAAAGGTGCGTCCACCTCTGTGTGTGTGTGTGTGTGTGTGTCATTCTTCTTTTTATGACATCACTGACGCCATCCTCCATTCGCTTCAGCTCACCGCGGCGTGGTGCGAGGAGTCGCCACGGACACTCTCAACCAGCTGACCATCACTACTGGCTCTGATTCGCTGCTCAAATTCTGGCGTTTCAAGACCAAGAAACAGGAGGAGGAGCTGAAAATGAACAGTACGCCGGCGCTAATGATGCTACACAGAGACAGGTAGCTAACGATCTGTTAGCGACCATTCATAGAAGTTATACAAAACGCACAGAATCGTAAATGTATAGTCGTCAAACGACGATGAAAGAACGGTCGTTTAAAACCTTCTGTCTCTGTTTTCCGGGTGTTAGCGGGATGTTAGCGTTAGCGCTGGATGACTTCACGCTGCAGGTGGTCGACATAGAAACCAGACGAGTGGTGAGGAAGTTCGCCGGGCACCACGGCAGCATCAATGACATGGTAGGTTGGATGCTGTTGGATGCTATTGGATGTTGTTGTTTACCTTCTTACTGTCGACAACACTGACGCCCGTTCACGAACGTCTCCTCAGACGTTCAGCCCCGACGGCCGATGGCTGGTGACAGGAGGGATGGATTGCACGGTTCGCACCTGGGATCTGCCCTCGGGAAGGTGGGAGTCAAGAGCCACCTGCTGGTTGCAGAAGAACTGACATGTTGTAATACAAACAGATCAATATTATTCACATCCCTTCAGATCAATAATCACCTTGATCAATCTTCCGTCCTCAGCCTGGTGGACTGTTTCCTGGTTTCCATGGCGCCTGTTAGCGTGTCCTTTTCTCCAACCGGGGACTTCCTGGCAACATCCCACATAGACAGTCTGGGCATTTACCTCTGGTCTGGACCAATCACAGCTCACTGTTTTTGTTTTTTTTTTTCAGATTTATTTCTTTGATGATGACATCACGATCATTTATTGACCTTCTCTCTTCAGGACCAATAAGAGTCTGTGTGGGCCTGTGGGGCTCCGCCCCCTGCCTGCGGACTACCAGCCTGAGACGGAGCTGCTGCCAGGCGTCGTGGTGGATGAAGTTGAAGAAGAGGTGACGGATGAGGAAATGCAGAATGAGTATAAGTCATGTGATCAGCTGGGGGCGGAGTTAGTGACGCTGTCGCAGCTGCCGGAGTCTCGGTGGAGGAGTCTGCTTCACCTGGATGAGATAAAGGTGAGTACGTACGAAAAAGAAAGACGTGTGATGTCATCACTGGCTGACGACAGACTTTCTTGTTTTGAGTGTAGAAGAAGAATAAACCGATAGCGCCCCCTGTGGCTCCGACTGCAGCGCCCTTCTTCCTACCTACAGTTCCTGGTCTTACGCCGCGGTTCAGTCTGCCCACAGAGGGTGAACAGGAAACACAGGTGAGTGTGGGTTTACTGGGACTCAACATTGACATCTGCTGGTCGTACGTCTGTACTGACGATGTGACGTTGTGTCTCAGTCCAAGGTGCTGAACTGGCAGTCCTTGTCCCAGAGGTCAGAGTTCGCTTCTGCCCTGGAGGCGGCGCTGGAGTCTGGGTCGTGTAAGTGTTACAATGCGATCGGATGAGAACATCACCCTCTAGTGGAGGGTGAACCGTGCAGCCCACTGCTCCTCTGTGTTCAGTGTTAATCGCGGCTCTGTTTATGCACATGAACACACCACCATACACTCCTAGTGGCTCACAGAGAGAAGCTCATGTTCTTCTCTCGTCTTCATCTGACACAGGCTACAAACTTAAAAATAGGCTACAAACTTAAAAAAAAAAAATCCAGAGCGGGGCGAGCAAGTCGCATCAACAAAGCTCTCTCTCTCTCTCTCTCTCTCCAGACGATCGTCCCTTGCAGCTCCTGAAGGATTGTGGGCCGTCTGCAATCTCCATTGAGCTCAGCAGTTTGTCGTCAGAGGGAGGCGGAGACAACGGGCTGCTGGTCGCCTTCATCCACATGATTGACAGCATGTTGCTGAGTGGGCGGGACTTTGACCTGGCTCATGGTTACCTGGCGCTGTTTCTGAAGGTCGGCCAATGAGAGAGTAGGCAGAGTGTCACATGTCTTCATCAGTGCTGCGGTGTTGACTGTTGTTGTTGTTGTTGTTGTGTTTCAGCTGCACCTTCGCTCCCTGTCAGACGACACCGAGGCCACGGCCGCGCTCCAACGACTGTCCGCCCGCCTGGAGGCCAGCTGGGCGGAGCTACGGGCCTCTTTCGACCAATCGCTGTGTCTGCTGTCTTACGCCAAGAGTGCTTTGTTGTGACACCTTCATCCTCACACACAAATTATTTTTTCTTTGTTTAAATAAGTTGACGTTTTTCCGTTTCTTTTTGTTTTGCTGTCAACAAAAAAAAGATTTATTAAAACTGCATTAAACAATGTTTCACGTCAGTATGTAAAATTTTATTTTATTTTTTTTTATAAAAAAAATCCTAATTTTTCTCTTCGTTGTTTATGACACGATCCCCACTGCGATCACTCGGACAGCCATAGTTTAAACGTTCGATCGTACGAACAGGTTGCGATCAGTTTCCCATCAGGTGACACGTCAACGCCCATCACCTAAAAACACCACAGAAATGTTGAGTTATAGGGAGTTCCCAGAAAGATTTTGTCATGCACAGTTAGCGAGTGAGTACGTTATAATTTGACCTTTGACCCAAAACACCCAGAGTAACTCAAAACACTGAACGAAGATAACAGAGTTTACCGGTAAAAATAACTTTTAGGTAACGAAGAGCACAGTTGAAAGTTGCCACATCAGGGGTAGAAACTGTCGGATTGTACTGTAAGATTAGCGGTTAGCACAACAGCTGCCTGTTAGCACGCCTGACTCAGAAGTAGAGAGCAGAGAGTCCTGTTAACAGCATGTCTGTTAGCATGTCTGTTAGCATGTCTGCTGCTAACACAATTTTCCCAAATATGGGATACATTTTTATTTTATTTTAAATAACACAAAGACACCTGGGAAACAATAAATATTACTAATATTATTAATTAATAATATATTAATAATATATATATAAGTATTATATCATGTAACCTGCCAATAGAAAAAACCCTAATGCTAACTATTTGCTAAAAGCTAAAAATCTAAAGATTTAGATCTGGTGAAAACGAGGACCTGTAAAAGTTCCAAATGATTCAAATAAGTCCTGGCCTTTTATTTTAGATTCAGTAAAATAATTTAGTTTCAAAGCTATGAACCATGACTGGCCCCCAGACCAGACTTTGACAACCACGGCAGACATGGTCAGTCTGTAACGGACCAATCAGATTACAGAGTTCGTACCTTTCCCTCGTGTCCAGCCAGCGTCTTCAGTGGCGTCCAGCCGGGGTGACTCCAGACCTTCGCTGTGTTGTCATACGCTCCCGTCAACAGGAAGTGACCGTCAGTGGCTGCAGACACGGACAGTTAACCCAAGGTCAACACATTTGGAAGAAATAAAATAAAAAAATAAAGACATTTTTTTGGTCCTCACGTTGAAAGCGAACAGAGGACACCAAGTTCTGGTGGGAGGGGACTGTGTAGAGGCACTTCCTGTTTCTCAGCTCCCAAACCTTACAGGTGTTGTCACCGCTTCCTGTCGCCAGGTGATACCTGAGAATGAAAAACATCAAATATAAAATTAAAATAAAAAACACCTAAAACACAACTTCTCTCATTGGCTGTGTGAATGTGCTCGTCTCTCATTGGCTGACCCGTTGGGCGAGAAGTTGACGCTGTAAATCTCCTTCAAGTGTCCCTCAAGAAAGACAACACATCGTCCAGTACGAAGGTCCCAAACACGAGCGAAGGAGTCCAGACCCCTGTGAGGAGACGGACTTCTGTTAGCTCCGCCCACAAGTTCAATGTTACAGTGATCGGAACTTCGTTAAAATGGGTGGTGATGGGAATGTTAGCCAACGAAGTGGAACACGTCGTCAGGGAAGTTCCACAGTGGCGACCCCTACCTGTACAGTACGTCATCTACATCATCATACATGGCCGTGGATATCGACCAATGAGAAAACGTATGTTCAAAATACACAGTAACGTTTTACACTGAGTACTGCAGTAACTACATACCTTCAACAATGAGTGGAGTTTTCTCACTTTTTAGAGAAACAAAAATTAGCTCGACGATAAAAGTTGAAAAACATTTACAGTTTCAATGTCTAGTTTTTGATAAAAAAATATATATTGATAAAAATATATTTTCAACTCTTTATTCTAATTATGATTAAAATGATGATTAAAACAGCATAGACTTTCTGGCTCCTCTACAGAACACACTATAACAAACGTAGTTGGAGTCGACATTAATCTGTGACGTCAAAATCTGGTCACATATAGGTTGTGAACCTAAACTTAAATTTGTCAACCCACTAGGTGGCGCTCAGGTCATCAAAGAACAACATCTGCATAGTCCATGGGTTTAACACGTCACATCCAGTTTGTGGTAGAACGTAGAACTTACCCAGTAGCAGCCAGTGACCCGTCAGGGTGAAAGTGCAGGTCATGGACTCCTTTGCTGTGACCCTCCTGATGGAGGATCTCCTCCTGGACCTCCAGGTCCCACAGACGCCACGAGTTGTCATAACTGCAGACACAAACACACACACACGTCAAATCTTCTGTCACAGACTGCATATATTAGCACTGCCAGCAGATGGTGACAGAGGTGCTGATGAAACTTTACCAGGTCGTTCCCAGGAAGCGTCCAGACGGATGCCAGGAGACCCTGGACACCCGCTCATTGTGACCCTCGATGTCTGCCACTGGTTCATCGCTGCCTCAACACAGAAATGACAGTTAGGAGACACAGAAACTCCTCAGAGACTCCTGAGACTCCTCCTCCTCCTCCTCACCTCTCCAGGCTCCACAGCTTCACTGAACCATCGGCTGCGCACGACGCCAGGTTGACATCTGATTGGTCGAGAGAGGTCCCAGCTTGTGGACGGAAGACAATGGAGCCGACATTGGTGCAGTGTCCTGGAACACAGTGGACGGAGTCGTGATCATTCACAACAACAACAAGTCCAGGCTTCACACACTCTTCAATAAAGTCGTCATAAATACAGAACAGAACCACAGCTGAACCACATTACATACAGAACAGAACCACAGCTGAACCACGTTATTATTGACATCGTGTAGTGACCAGATGTGGGAGGTTCAGAGGCGGCCCACAGGCCAGGAGTTTGACACCCGTGGTCTAGGATATATTTAACTATTGTAAAGGCAAAATGTTGAGTTCATTTTCACGTTCATGTTTCCAAACGTCAGCCTCAGCGTCTCTTACCTCTGAGGGTGCGGATCGGGTTACAGTCGGGGATGGACCACAGTTTACAGAGTCCACTCCTGTGGGACAGACGTCAGGAGAAATATCAGAGGGTAATACTGCAGATCAACAAGTACGCAACAAATCTACCCGTACGAACGGTGGGTGGTCATACCAGGAGGCTGTAGCCAGCATTTTGGAGTTAGAGCTGAAGTGACAGAAGCTGATTGGTCGATCGTCACCGATCTGACTGCAGAAGTTGTTTAGATTCTGATGAAGTAAAACGTCGTTGGTTATTGATCAAACTGTTGATAAACACATGACTTTGGTGGAGTTAAACTCCAACTCACCCTCAGGCTCTTGTGGAGCTCCTGCTGCTTCATGGTCTTTGTCGCCTCTGGGACCAGTTTCTGGACTCGTGCTTCGTCCAGACGCTTCACGGCCCTGGAGGAACATCCACAGTGAAGAGTTCGGTCACAGACAACGCAGACTCTTCCATCCTCTCCTCGTCGTCAAACTCATAATAACTGACACTGAACTTTTTACTTATTCATTTTAATCAAGGCCTTCATAGAAATGACTACGGCACAAATGACATCACACAGAGATAATGAAGATAATGAGATAATAATAAGTCGTATCATGACTCACAGTGGCAGAGAGTATTTGGCCAACCACAGACGGGCCTCCTTCAAGGTGTTGGGGCCCTCGTGGTACCACGTCTGCTGGCACTGCAATTGTCAAACAAAAAGAAGAAAATGAATATTTTTATATTCCGATGATTTTTTTACAGGACGTGTAAAAATCCACTTGATCCAACATGTCAAATTCTAAGGATCCAAAAGAACATTCTAAGTGACTTCAGTGTGTAATTGTTCCTGGTTCTTAATGAGTACCTCCTCCTGGGATCTCCTCGCTCTTTCTTCATCTTTCCTGGACTTCTTCAGAGCATCAGGACCAACCACAGACAGGATACTCCGCAGCCTGAAACACAAGTTCGGAAAATTACAGTTTATTCATTTTGTTAGAAAGATATTTTTGACACAACGCAAAAACAGGAAATGCAGAACTAGCATTCGTCACCTCTCCCTGCGGTCAGCTGGTCCTTCTCCAAACAACGTGATTGGCTCCCCGAGAGCCCGAAGACCAGCCTTCACCTCGGCATCATCTGTGGAGACTGTGATTTGTCTGGCTCGCCGTCGACGCTCAAACTCAGCCAGAGCGTCCTGCTGCCGTTCGCTGACACGCTCCTCCATCTCAAGAGTTTCTCCTGAGGACGATCGTCACAGAATGTAAACAAACAGCCTCACCTTGGTGGACAACACGACTAACGTTCTCAACAGGACAACCACCTGATGACATGTTGATGTTGCCTGCATCAATTCCAGCTTTCATTGCGCTTCTTCCTGACCACGTGTTTGAGGCCAGACGTTCCCGCTCCTTCTCCTCCAGGCTTCCATAGAAAAGCCGAGTTCTCTTCATAGTTGGAGCTAAGTCTTCGTCGTCCGACATTTTGACGGCTGGTGCTGGAACCTTGAGGATTCCTAAATGTTAGAGGAAAATGAACGAGTTAGACAATCACCCTCTTTTTCTTGGGCTTAAATCCACATTGTGTTAGGTGTAAATAACAATGACAAAATATTGAATTTGGTTTAAATTATAATTAACAGAATAGTAAATTACTGCTTACTATTTTAACAAGTTTTATGTTTATTGTTTATGAAATGTTGGTGGAATCAATGTTTCTGCGTCAGCCTCCAAACTATGTGGTGTTTCGGTGATTTTAAAAAGATAATATAAATATAACTATAGACGTTTAATACATCAAGACTATTCTATCCATGATTTTCCCTCTTCCTCTTTTTTTTCTTTGCAAAAGACGAGGCGCGGCTCCCGATTACCGACGTGGACTATTGCTGTGGGCAGTAGCTGTTCTTAGGGTTAGTGTGGCGTTACATTAAATATTTTGAGCATAAGTTTTATATGATATAACATTATAATAATGAATACATTAGCATCACTACAACAAAAGAGAGACATTTAAGCTCACGTGAAAAAGAGCACAGTGTTAGCATTAGCTTTAAACCAGTGACTTGCCGCTGGAAACACATTCCCCACTTACATAAAGTTTTTTAATTTTTTACCGATATATTACTCGAACCTACAATTTCATCTGAAAAATTAAAGAGTAACAGTTCAATCAAATTAAAAAGGTACAAACAACCACAACCTACCTGTAAACAAACGAAGCTACCGCGTCTCGCAGTACTATAACCCGGATGTACACTGTTTATCTGCATCCGGTGCCAGATGTAGCGTTTCCGCTCTCGGCTTTAGCTGCCAAAAAAACCGTAGAAAGAGGGAAATTCAGAGAAGAACTCCACAATCCCACAAGGTAAACCACAACAGACTTTAATATAGTAAAAGACAGAAATAAATCCCAAAAAGGACACACTGGTGGTACCTGTGATTTTGATTTAAATACGTTTACCCCAGTCGCTGGTTAGCTTAGCTTTTATTAACCCCTCATTTTTTTAAAGTTTTACCAAAGCAGTTAACTGAAAGTAGTTGATTTTATCAGCGTTTTAAATCCATTTAAAATAATTAGTATTCTTTTTATGCTACTCAAGCTTTTGTTCTTAAAGAACTTTTAATTTTAATATTATATGTTTTAATTTACATTTGAGAGTATATCTACTCTAGTCAAACCACATGAATGTTGTGTTTTAGTAATAATTAAAAGCCAATATATGTCCACTTACACTTTAAATATGCTACAAATCGTTATTACGTAAGGATCACCAGAACACGGTCCTGGCCATCATGTTGTTGTCATGTCTACACTCCTTCAGAGCAGCTGAAGAATGAATAGGGGACAGGATGAGATGGAACCCGGTGGTGGAATGTTGAATGAATTGTTTTGTTGTTTTTACTTCTGGTGTTTTCAGGAGTGTTGAGAAGATGTTGAGGAGGAAACCCACTCGTCTTGAGCTAAAGATCGATGACATTGAAGAGTTTGAGAGTGTCAAAAAGGAGCTTGAGGTTCAAATACTTTTTTTTTAGTGTGATCTGTTTTTTCACTAATCAACAGAAATACAACGATTCTGTCACTGATTCAATGATTTTTTTTTGTTTCAGGCCAGGAAGCGTCAGAGAGAGGAGGCAGAGTCAGGAGGCGGCGGTTCTTCTGTGATCAGTGTTGACATCATCAGCGGCGGGCCCTCAGTTTCAGCCTCTTCCTCCTCCACAGCATCAAGAACAGACCTCATCAATGAACGAATCGGCTACAAGCCGCACCCCAAACCGGCCACTCTGCCCACGCTGTTTGGAAGTTTACAGTTTTAATGTAAAATAAAGGCTATGACAAAACTACTATGTAACTATGTACAGACTACAGCAAAACCAAGAAAAAGAAGATTTAGATGTTAATTTTACAATATTCAAATGTATAATTTTTTTTTTTAAACTTGAGTTCTGGTTTCACTCTAAACTGATTTTTTTTAAATAAAACATGTCACGACAGATGTTTGATATTTGTTTTATTTTCATAATAAATGCTACAATAATACTTTTATAAAGAGCACAAACAAATATAAAAGACAAACAGATGATTAGTGTTTTTTATTTACAGGAACAGTCAGTAGCTCTGACATCACCCATTTAAGCTCCACCCACACACAGTCCAGGTAGTGATATTGACCAATCAGGACTCTTGATCCATTTGCTCATACACATGCCACTTTTTTTTTTTTTAATATTCAAAAATTTCAGTCACAACTGCAACCAGCAGATATAGTAAGTGCTGATTTTTTTGTATGGAGCCTTAAAAGAAACATCTAGACAATAAAAAGTAATATTTTAATTTTTTAAAAATGTTAAAGAAGTAACTTTTTTTTTAATCTGACAAGATCCTGAAAGCTGATTGGTCAGAAACTTTTCCTGAAATTACATAAGGCTCTGAGCTTTGGCTTGGTCCAAGTATAAACTGGAACTGTTTTTGTTACATAAAAAGAAATAAAACATCTTAAAAAAAATAAATAAAATTAACCAGAGTTTGTGTCGAAGACTGTTCGTAAGAAATGGACGTCGCCAGAGAGTTGCAAAAAGTACAATTGCACAAAACGACTAGAAGCTGCTGATTTCTGGTCCCACCACCATCGTCCCATTGACCTTTAAAAACGCTTAGTTACTGGTAAACGTAGTAGTGTTTGTGTCGTCGTCTTAAACTTCTCGCTACAACTTTTCATTGCAATTTTCTGGTTAAGTCCATTTCCTATTATATACACAGTCGGTTTGTAGTGTTCACTTTGAGGCCACGAATACAGTAGTGGGGGATGAGGAGGGGGTCCTTTAGCTTATGCTATAATTATTAAAAAAAAAAAAAAAATAAACAATTGGCGTTTTCCTTTTTAGGAATAAATTAAGTCTGAGATTTCATCACCTAATTTCTGAGCTCTCAGGTTTGTGTAGTGTCAGTCAGTTAATTGATAAATGCTGATTGGTTCCTGGCGGGGAGGTTCAGTGTTGACCAGAGCAGGACATCTCTCTACATTTATGCTCTTTGTTCTGCTGTGGTCCGTCAGTGTGTTTCTGTCGGGTGTTGTTTTTTTTTTTTTTTTAGCTGAATGCTAACACAGGTGTTTAACCCGCCGTCGGCCCCGTCCATATAATTTAAAAGTGACTTTTGTTTTGGCCTGCGTGATGATCATCACTTCTTTTTGATGGCACTGAGGTCGCGTTGCAGGTCGGAGAACTTGGGCCGCTCCTCTGGGTTGTACTGCCAACAGCGCTGCATTACTTTGTACACTTCTTCAGGGCACCGCTGAGGACACGTCATCCTGTAACCTAGCAACGAGCAGGATGAAATCAAATGTTATATTAATATAAACTTTTAGTCAGGCATTAAATAAATCCAGCAACGGTGTACTTTTAAATAAATACCTTTCAGCCTGTTAATAAGGCAACATTTGTTTGCCTCTCTCCAAGGTACAAAAAAAAAAAAAAATACACCTTCACCTGAATCGTTGGTGCTTAACGTAACTTGACTGTACCTTTCTCCACCTGCTCTCGGGCCTGTTGATTGGTCATCCCAGGATAAGGACACACTCCCAGACTGAAGGTTTCCCACAGTAGGATCCCATAACTCCACACGTCACTCTCTGAGCTATAACGACCTGCAGATAAATCACGTTAAACCATTAACAACGTCAAGTCGAGACGACGCCCAGGATTCAGTCGTTATGTCAGTTTTTACTACAGATGTCCAATAACATCGGCCAATCGATATCAGCGGACATCCCTCGTTTCTCCTTAAACCGTTTCACTGACTTTCTTCCTAAAGTGTACGAACACGGTCAGCTGACCACCGACTCTGACGGCAGTTTCGTGAACGTGACAGCTGTGGAGTTACCGTAGTTGAGGGCTTCAGGTGCCGTCCACTTGATAGGAATCTGCTTGAGCCCAGATGAAGAGTAAATGCCGTCATCTTCCTGACGACTCATCCCAAAGTCGCTGATCTTTAAGACGCTGCTCTCACCCACCAGACAGTTCCTGGCTGCCAGGTCCCTGGGAACCAGATCAGACACGTTTCATTCAAACATTGACTTTGTCAGTCGAGTGCGAGGTCTGTGAAGCGCCGCAGCACTCCAGCTGACTGACCTGTGGATGCAGTTCTTACTCTCCAGATAGGCCATTCCGGCAGCAGCGTCCACGGAGAAACGGACGAGCTGCTTGGTCTTCAGTTCGTCCTTCTTCTTCCTCAGGAACGACAGGAAGTCTCCACCTGCGGCACAAAAGCACCTGATCCAGACCGTCTCACGTCTTAAAGGAACAGAGCAGAGAGTCACCGAAGCCCCACCCACCTGGTACCAGCTCCATGACGATGTAGATCGGCTGTCGTTGTGTGCAAACGCCAATCAGCTTCACAATATTCGGGTGGTCATACTGTTTCAGGATCCTGGAGCCAATCACAAAGGGGCAACGTAAGACACTAGCTCATCAAAGAAAAGATTAGTTAGGGATGTTCGGGATTAACTTTTTGTAACTATCTAACTTGTCCAAACACTTAATTTCCAATTCCGATATCAACCGATACCGATATAACGGGGCAGTGGTGCCCTGGTGGTTCGCAAAAATATTTGTTTATCTGTATAAACCACTGTACGAGTTCCTAGCACCAGTATTCTATATACAATCCACTGGTTTATAAATCAGATTAATTAAATTAGCCGCAATACTGCCATCTAGTGGCTTTCACTTTAATATACAGCTGTTTTTCCCCAAGACTATTTTTATGGCACACATCATTTGGCGAAACCCAGGCGTTGCATTATCCAGGTTTCATTATCAGAGGAAAAAAACAATAACGATTCTTACAGATATAACATAATTATGCTAATATCAGTCGGCCAAATTATCGGACATCCCTAGTCATAAACTCTAACTTGTCTGTTTCTATGGCAACATCTTGGACCAGACCTGGCCTCAGACAGGAAGCGGATTTTCAGCTCCGGTGGTAAATCTTCTTTACAGGTTTTAACAGCCACTGGTAACTTGTCCCGCTGTAGAGTTCCTTTAAACACCTCTCCAAAGTTACCCTGGTGGCAGGCAGAGAGCAGAGCATGATGGGAAACAAACACAGTAAGAGGGCATCGACTAATGAAGTGCGGACGGGGAGTTGGATGACGAGGAGTTCAGATCGCTCACCTTCCCCAGCAGCTCCCCTAATGCTACGTCCTCGTGGTTCAGGATCCACTTCTTGTCCTGGACACAAAATGATGATGTCATCAAAAGTGGACAGGACCACTCTCTGATGTTTGGGTACATGCAGCTGTGAGCGTTACCTTGATGACAGGGTTGAGCAACACCACTCCAGACTTCTTGGTGATGACCTGTTTCGTGGTGAAGTGATGTTCGATGAGCTGAGGGATGGTGGTGAAGCCGGTGCCTTCGAAACGGTACTGACTCTGTCAGAGAGGGAGGGCGAGGGTGAGGGGGGGCCGTGTCTTGTTCGTTTTTTAAATTGTTGGTGTTGGTGGAGTACATACATCGGCAAACTGGATGATGAAGTGCCGCCGCTGCTCGTCAGAAAACACCGACAGGACGTACTCGCCCGGTTTGCCGTGACTTTCCCTCACCAGGAAGTCTCCCTGCTGCCGCAGTAACTCTTGAGCCTCGGTCCGGGGGATAGCGCCGTGATACCACTCCTGCTCTGCTAGTGGGCGCTCCGATGTGGGGATGACGTCAAAGAATTGCTGGAAGCAGCAAAAATGAAGATGTTATTACATTTCTACAGAAAGGATTCTAACAGATGATTTGAACAAAACTCTTCCTCTCTGCTCACCGAGGAGGAGGAGCCAAGCATCGATTTAGGAGAGCGAATCATTCCTGCCAGAGAGTGACGCAGAGTGTCGAAGCGGGAGCTCCGCTCTTTGGCCTTATCCTAAAACAAACACAAGGTCAGCTCAGGTCAGCCGTTCGTCCCGTGTCCCTCACGGATTATCACTCATTAAGAACGGAAACATTTACAGTTGATCCCACAGAGCGAGAGTCGTCTTCGTAAGGCAGAGCTGGAGGCGGAGGCGGCGGCGGAGGGGACGTGGCGGCGTCGGCCAACTTGGCGTCCAACAGAGTCTTCTGTGACGCCAGACGGGCCTCAGACGAGCGTAGTGACTGGACGGCGTGACGGAGCTCGAGCAGAGAGAGTTTCTGACTGAGCAGAAGGACGCAGCTGAGGGCGAGAGACATGGAGAGTCAACATGAGAACAGAGAGAGAGAGAGAGAGAGAGAGGGCTGCAATCGCTCAGGTTGAGACACTGACTCGCTCGTCTTCTCTGCGTTCTGCTGACTCGTCTGGATCTTGGCATCAAGGTCGTCGGCCAAGGCCTCCTTCGTTCTTAGATTTTGCTGAGTCAGCGTTAGCTCTTCTGTTGCCGACGACAACCTGCGAAGAGTGTTAGATTTTAAGACGTTGCAAATTTTAATTTGGTGTAAGTGGTGTGTGTTTTATTTTGAAGGTGCTCACATGGTCTGCAGGCTGTCTGCCGTCAGTGTGTTCCACAGGATGTCATTGGCTGGCAGGTTGTCCGTGTCCTCCAACAACGACGTGTCAAACTCAACGTTCGTCTCTGGAGTCTCGGGAGACCTGAGACACAAACGCACGCCGTTAACGCAACGAGGACAGAGAAAGCATCGACGCAGCGGCTGCAGTGCGACGTCTCACCTGTAGGCGTCGATGAAGGGCTGGTACTCAGCCACCGGGTCGATCTGCTGAACAGCTGCTGAGATTTCCTGATGAACCTTCACTATGTCGTCAGTCAGAAGACTGCTGATCTCACAGTACTCCTCCAGAATGCTGCGGCTGTGGACGAGAGACAACAGTAGGTGACAACAGGTGGAACAGCATTTAGCCCAGGGAGTCACGTGACTGTCAGGTTGTTCAAAACATCAGCGAGGACTTTCAGGATATCCATACATTTTTATTTTAACTCACAGGGGTCAAAGAAAAGGTGACTGTATTTTTCTGTGTCGTGAAACTTACAGCGCAAGTGTCATGTCCTCCTGCATCCTCTGGAGGGCATCCAGGAGAGCAGGTGCAGCGTGGTGTCGGTGTTCTTCCTGCTGCGTTCTTGCCCCACACACTGCCAACACGTACTGATTGTGAAGGTTGTGGAGCTTTGCCGTCACTTTGTCGTAACGCTCGCGGGCTCGCTCGGCCTCCCTTCCTGTGATTGGATGATGAAGTGGGGAAGGGGAGGAGTAAGAGACTGCAGAAACACCGTAATGTCACTGTTTTTTGTGGAGTAAATGAGCAGCAGGAACCTTTGGCCAGAGCCTCTCTGTATTTCTCTTTGGCGTTGTTAGCTTCACGACTTAGCTGACGATATGTAGCCTTTAGCTTGTCCAGCTCACTCCTGGTGACCTGGAAAAAAAACAAACATGGTCACTGAGACAATAGTACAGTTAGATTTGCACAAGTTTTTATTTTCCCAGCAGACCTTGTGGTTGTGGCTCTCCAGCTGCTGATGGAGACTCTGGTAGCTCTTCTTCACTTGCTGCTTGTCTCGGATCAGCGTGGCGAGGCGGTGCAGAGGACCAGAGTTCAGGTCGTCAGCGTGACTCCTCATCACTCGACCCAACGCCTCAGTCTGACGGATCACCTGCGACCAGGACTGACCCACAGACACAGACAGGAGTCAGGCGTGACCGTGGATGGGACGCAGCTTTGATTTGATTGGACAGGTCAGGTAATCTCACCTTGCTGACCGTGCTGATGTAATCAGCAGCTTCCTGTTTCTCAGTTTGCTGAGTCAGGCTCAGCAGCAGGGCGGCGTATTCTTTGTCGCTCTTCACGCGCAGTGTCATGAAGCGCTTCACCGTTTCCAGCAACTGCGAGGATAAAGTACAAAAAAAAAAAATAGCTTTGTAAGAAAACCTATTTCAAGCTATTTTTATAAACTGACCGCCCTCCCCCCGAACTCACACACACTTGCACACACATTTATTTTGCAATTAAAAAAATCATCCTCTGCTTTTAATCTTTTATATTTACAGCACATCCAAATGACTCTGTTTATTTTAAGCAAACAGAATATTAACTTTTTGCAGAAGAGTTCAATTGAAAACAAAAAGTTTGGCCATTTTAAACAGACATCACTTCACACAGCAGCAGCTGGGTCGGCTATCACACCAGATAACTGACTGAACTGAGATTATTTACATTCAATATGTTTTTTATTGCTGTCAGTTACACTCCTCTGTCAGTTTCTGTGTTGAACTGGTATGGTTGAACAGATCTTAGATCAGTTCAGATATCCATTCTTTTAGGATAATCTGATATCCACCTTACTGAGAACTTCCAGTCATGTGTGTCACGTTTCAGTAAAGATTATTTTACTTTTTCTGCCACCTTCCTCAAAAATCTCACATTTCACACTTTGATTTTATTGTTGTTGTCTCATAGGTCAGCTTTTCCGCAAGGCACTGTTCGGACTATTCTCATTCTTCAAAACGGTTGAATTCTGTGCCAGCTTCCAAGTAGAAACAGAGTTCACAAATTTCTATTTTGATGATTTAAACTGTGGTAATGAACCCAGAACAGAATAAACACTGCTTTTTGTACCTAATACAATATGAAGTGGTTAAAATGATCTATTATCACTCACCAATACTAAAACTGACTTAAAAAGAAAAATAATGGAGTAAATAAAATAGAGGTTCAGGCAGCTGACCAATAAAAAAGAAGGATGGTCTAATGTCACACATGCAACAAACAAACCTTTAATTCCCAGTCCTGCAGCTTCAGTAATCCCTCATGGGAATTCCTGAGATCCCGACCAAAACCCATCCTGGATTATTCAAGTTCTTGCTCACACACGCTCACAAAGGCTCACGATCTAAGACCAACACACACTAACGGCGAGGACACGCAGGGAGTGATTGCATGGTTATCTGTGGAGAGAGTGAAATAAAATAAAAAAGTTGTCAAAACCTGTCAAAACTGTCAGTTACACCTTGGTACATCCAGCACGTCAGCTGCATCTACACAAAATGGTGTAAACACAAAATAAATACAACAATAAAATGTTCATACACGTTAACAGTGTGAGACAGTGGCTGTGATAATGTCCTTTATCCTGCAGCATTGTGGGTAATATCCATTTATTACGTGTTTTAAAACCATTCAGTGTTTATGCTCTTGAACTGTCAATGAACCATCAGCAACATAAACTCTGCAAGTTCAGATTCTTCACATTCCTTTGACCAGAGCTAACAGGCTAACGCTATCCTCCAGTTCATTATGAATTACTGAGAAAGCAGAGCTAAAAGGCTAACGCTGGCCATTTCTCTAACAAATCAAATTGTCAAATTGGACTAAAAATGTTGACTGGGCGTTAAGGGTTATAAATTACAAGCGCAGAAACAATAAGCGAATGAAAAGCCTGGTTCGACTGTGAGGAAATAAAGAGATGATAAAAGTAAAAGAAGAGGAGGAGCAGTGGGAAAGTCGGGAGGGGGCTCGCTGTTTTTCCACAGCTCCTCGAAACTTTTCTGCGGCACCGACTCACCGGGAAGCAGCTTTGGTTTTTGGCAAGAACGCTGTCCGGTCACGATGTACCTTTGCCGTCCCCCGCCGGGACCATCTCCTCCTGTTCTACTTTATTTTCCTCTAACAACTCCCCGGCGTCTTCTCCAGTCGTCCGGCCCCAGAGCTAAGAGGATAACGGCTAACAGCTAACAGGGAGGGGCATCCGCCGGAAACGGAAAAGAGGAAGGGCAGGGGGCGGAGTTGACTGTTGCCCCAATTTAAATATGTATCTTTAATTAAGTTCCTTGCGTATTTCACATATTTGTCATTATTAGTCGTCATGAACAACATCCCAGGAACGCGAACTACAATAAGAGTTATTTACTTCAGAATTGCGGCCTAAACATTCGTATTTTAAATTAGGAAAACTTCATACTTCAATGTGTCAGACAGGAAATATAAACCTATTCGTTTGTCCTTAAAAATTCAAATGCTAATACTGACTTTATTCATGCTTTGAGTTTAAAAAAATAACAATGTGAGGAATGGGTTCACCTACGATGGCGTTAAATCACATTTAAATACATTCGTACATCAAAAAAATGTCCACGGGTCTGTTGTCGTCCAGACGAGTGTCAAATGGACTGGGTTGACAGATTTAGTAAAACCCTAACGGGAATTTTAAAACCGGAGTTTTACGTACGTACGTATTTCCGATTTAGTAAAACCCTAACGGGAATTTTGAAACCGGAGGTTGAAACCGTACCGTACGTACGTATTTCTCGGTTTGAATGTTCTACATGTTTCACATATTTTGCAACAAAGCGGAGGACAAAGTAAAGTGTCACACCTCACCATGATGTAACCTGAAGTTACCTGATGTTGTTTCATCATGAAAAAACACCTACGGACAAAGATGTAAAAAATCTAAAGTTATATAAGTTAAATAAAAGTAAGTAGTAAGTAGATAATGTAGGATAAGACAAAAAAACACACAAGATAAATGTGAAAAGAGAAAGTTTTTAAAAAGTGATTTTTTTTTGACTGACAGATATATTTGACCAGACTTTTATTTCTTAACAAATGTTTAAATACATTTTGTTAATATTTTGTATATTGTCGACTACTTTTTCAAACGTTTTAGTCACTTCCAGTTTTGTTTTGTCACCTCTTGTTGTCTTTTTACTAATTTTGAATTATGTCACTCTCATAACCGACTGTGTAGGAATTCAGGTGCCTGGGCTGAGAGCCAATCAGAGCGCAGTGTGGGCGGGGCTCAGTGTTGGCATGATCCGGAGGGAAAACAGTTTCTGTCCAACCGGTTACTGAAACAGATTCTCTTTTCTGTCCTCGATCACAATCTTATCTGATGATCGACTCCTCCGTGGGATTTAAAAAAACACGACACTTGTTGATCACTTTTGGATGTGAATCTCTGAGATTGACCGCTGAGCTCAGAGCGGCTCCAGCTCCGTCCTCGGTGTCTCTGTGGTTCCAAAACAAACAGAAAAAGTTAAAAAAAAAAATCAACAGTACCAAATCAGAGACAGAGTTCCGACGGGAATGAATGGAAAATGGGAGGGAGTGTGAAACAGAGGGTGGTCCGGAGGGAGGAGGGCGGAGGAGCTCTGGTTAGACTGGAGTGAGACACAGAGGGGGGAGAGAGAGAGAGAGAGAGAGAGGGATAAAAGAGTGGAGATTGTCATCAGGTAGAACAGGTTTGGGCGAGGCGACAGAGCGAAGCTCACACTGCACTGAGAAGAAGAAGAAGAGACGGATTCTTTTTTTAACTGGTCATTTCGTGTTTTAGTTCCGTGACTTCACCCCAAGAAGACGAAGGAGGAACAGAGGACACAGGACGTGGGAGATTCTTCACAAAATCAACGATTAAGGAGAAGGAAGAAGAGGGAAGACCCGCAGCCTGCCGA